TAATTTCTATAGTAGAGAATGCTATATCAAGAAACAAGCAAAAGAGCTTTCTTACTGACGAGCACACTGCCTTATGTTTGTTTACGCGTTCAAAGTTTAGCTGTTCGTGCGGTCTTCCGCAGTTTTTTATCCATCGCTTGCATTTTTCTAGCTCCGTCTTCGGCTTGGGGAACAAAATAAATCGTCCTCCATTTAGTCGTTCGGAATATCTCTCATCTGCATTGCATGTTCCCCACGCACAACGCAAAACCATCTCTTGTTACGAACTGGCTACGCGTACGATCAGCTGGCATGTTTGTGGGACAAGATGGCGGCCGCTCACACTCTTTCTTGTGATTGGTTGGTATTCGCATTGCTGATTGACAGGTCGGAACTATGAGTAGCTCTTATCGGAGTTGAGCACGCCACCCTAAAAATCCAGCGGTATTCTTGTGAGTAAACATCAAAGCGAGGCTATCGGGTCAACATCGATCAGATTTGTGTGAGAAAGTGAGGAAAACTTATGGAGTGTTCCACAAATCTTCCACAAGCGGCCTTTTTTTCCGCTGAGGAGAAAGTGCAGTTGATAAGTGGTAATTGCCCACGGGATATAACTGAAGAAAGACTCAAAGAATGGTTGTCATTCCGCAAAGGGACGGCTAAAGATGGTAGTGCACGGTCTGAAGCAACGAAGGCTGAGTTATCTCAAAGGTACACAGATTGCAATATTTTTTGTCCCTTATAATTATTGCCATTGCTTGAAGGGAATATCGAAGCATAACTTCTATATCGATTTGTTTTACCTGCCGCAGGGTCATCAGTTATATAAAAATGGTTGGGAGAATAATTTTACGGAGAAGTGGCAACACTTGGCGGCAAGTAAACCACTGGAGCAAACGGCGACCGTCAATTGTGATTTCCCTGGATCTGCACAATGGGTTTCGCTGATTGACGCGAAGGACGATGTCCTTTCATTTAATATTCAGAATATCGTGTCTTACTTTATTGAAAGAAAAGCTAAAGACAATGAATCCAACAAAGATTTCAAGAATGTCAGCAGCAAAGCTTTCGGTTTGTTTCGACATGGTCATATCCAAAAACTGGAAATCGCACGGGACGCGCTCCTTAGTTTGCCATTTCTCAAGTAAACATGAGATTTCGTCATTCTTTAACTGAAGTTGATGTTCCCAGTTTTCATCTACAATTTGAAATAAACCTTCACTTTCGAGATGTTCAGTTTCCATACCATCTGAAACAGATTTAAAATCGGTGTTTTCAATGTTTATCGGTTCGGGGGCTGAATGCTGCTGCGATTTCTCTATTTTTGTTTTCTTTGTGTTCAACGTTGCTCGATCAGCGGGCTCTTTCCTCTTTGGTTTTTCAACAGTAAATATAAACTTTGTCGGTACGGAATCTGGCTTCAAGCGAATTCTTTGTCCTCCCATTGGTTTTATGAAGCAATTAGCTTCAAAATGCTGACTACAGACATAAGAGTTTTTGTTTACCGGAGTGTTCTCTCGACCCAGTTTCACGAGCCATTGCGCCAGCAAATTCTCGTTTGACAGCGGCATCGAATGCCATGATAGGTCCTTGCATTCCGCTTTGGAACTTCGGTTTTGACACCCAAAAGCTATGCAATGTTTCACCATGGATAAAAAAACTAAAAACTCGAGAAAATATTATGTAAATACCTAGCTACTACTAATTTCCCTCTCTGCTTCCTTGTACTTTAGAGCGAGCTAGACCCGATAGCCTCGTTGTGGCGTAAGCTCATCCGGAGACCGCTGATTTCGCGTGCTCAACTCCGATAAGAGCTATTAACCTCTGTGGGTTATACACTACTGGAGGAGTATCTAAGACAGCACACAAGAGCTCGCAATCACCGGTTCGAGACTTCCCTGACGCGCCTGGACGAAGTTCCCTGTGGTTGTGTAATCAGTAATGCTGCTGAATTCCCGAGGATAGGGAAGTAGCGGATAAGGGGATATATTAGGTAGGCGGAGACAGCAGAGCGGAAGGGGGGTGCAGTCATGTCTCGTTCTTGAAATCGTTTGCTTTCAAAAGTTCTCGAATAATCCTGCCAAAGGCAAATTTGTTAGCACAAAATACGTGAATATGTATTCATTTATCTATCTTCCTTTGGGAACCGTTGAAAACACTGCAAATTCGGATGAATCACCAAGGCTCTCTAAAGACTGGTTGTTCATGCATGGTAATCTGGAACCTTTCCCAATGGCGTGGTGAGAGAGCCAACTTGAGAATTTTCAAGTGAACAGCTGGAGGCAAAACTTTATCTTTTAATGAAAGCAGTTGAACGAAATATTTAACACTGTATGTACAGTGGATGGACTCTGTTAGTAGCTATAAGATTATAATAATTACAATAATTCTTGTTCATTTTCCTACATCAATAAGCTTTTACTGATAAGTTTTTTATTTCCTTATGGAATAATTCTTGTCCCACTTTGGGTTTTTTAAACATTCTTTAAGTATCACTGACTAAATTTAGTGTGCTTGCCTGAGGCGTGTTCTCTCTACACAACTGACCTCCTTAAACAGCATTAGTACGGAAAAAAACTTGTCTTTGTTCACTGCAGCCAGTAGCTTCATATTAAGGCTTGCAAATAGGTTAAAAGACTGACTAAGCTATAATGAAGCTTGTAGGAACTTTCTTTTTTTTTTTTATCAAGAGACACCATTAAAGCTTTGTATCTAAATGCTTAATTCCAGCAATCCCTGGGCGTTGCCCCATGTTCGCTCGGCCATTTATCGAACCTGAAAGTTGAACATAGAAAAGAAGAACTGATAAAATGATTGCTGAAAGACCTGATATTCGTAACTTCTCCACCGGCACCCAAGCCCAAATTCCACATACATTTGTTTGGGAACACTTGTTGATGGAAATTCTTTCCAATTTAGTAATCGGAAAAGTGGAAAGATCACAAGTCTATAAAAAACTACAATATATGACAAGTATAAGGTCAGTCGTTATTCACCGCTTGGGGGTGGGGTGTGGGGAGGTTTTGGAGGGAACATATGGTTTTCAGGGGGTACGGAGGGGGATATCAGTCGTCACCAACAGAGTATAAAGAAGGCTATAGAAAATTGACTGCCAATTAATTGCTAATGAGGACGGGGGTGGGGTGGGTGGGTGGGTCTCTTAAGAATATTACAGAGACCTATGTAGGATCAGGTATATTTTGTCGTGACACAAACAAAATTCTCCAGACCCCCACCCCCAGACGATAAATATGGAATTAGGTAGGTGCGAATGAGATAAAAAAAGGCAGCCAGAGAAAGGAGGAGAGAGGGAAAGAAGGGAAAAGGAAGGGAATAAGAAAGGATAGAGAAAAAGGGGAAAAAGTGAAAAGAAAAGAGAGAAGGAAAGATAGGCTCAGTGAAAAATCCCGCCCGTGGAAAACTTATTTCAGCACTTCACTGCTAGATCAGTCTCGTGAGGACGCACATTCTACGAACTAAACGTATATGGCAACAAATGCTTCTGCGCGGTACAAGACGGTGTAAAGCAGGAATGAACTCATAGTACCTAGTACCTGCAGGTGACAACTGAGTAGTTGTTGATGCAATAGATGATCTCCCAATCTGGGTCATCATTCCTAATCTTGTCCTTGTAATGGATCTGAGCAAACTCTCTCTTACCTATTGTAACGAATAAAGAGACACTGCAATAAGCAAGCATAGAAAATAAACGATTCCACTTAAAATTCTGAGTGCAGCGGTTTTACCGCATAAGCCATCAATTCAGAGGATCGCCACATGGAATACGATATTCTGCATCAAAATTACACCAAAGCTACACAAGCTAAGTTGGAAAATACCTGGTCATCCAAAACACCATGGAAGATACAAAACACCAAACCCTATAAGAATCAAAAGAAACACGAGTGAGGCAAACATGATCGATAGCAGCAACTGTAGAGCACATAGCACCGTGAGTACCTGGGACGAGTTGAGTATGATGAACAAATACGCAAGGACTTCACTCCAGTGGATAAAAAACCCCAGCAGCCACGTGACACCCAACAGAGGCAGTAGAGCTGCGATGCTCCTCAATCCTTTTCTGTAAGAATAAAGAAAAATTTAAGGGATCGATCACTGGGGGGACGGGAACGGAGGATTAATAGCATCTGGTTAAAAGAGCTTATTAATTAAAAGAATCACACATACAGTACAAATCTGACTTTTTCACTCGACCGTTAGGAAAAAAAAAAAAAAAAAAAAAAGGAAACAGGAACGAGAAAACAAAAGAAGAAACTTGCCTGGTCTTCTCTACATTATCAGTCTGATATTTTTTCGATATCTTGGTGAATATCACTCTCAGTAGAATTACAAATATCACAAGGTTGACCTAGAAATGAACAATTGAAAATGTTTGACCTTAAAAAAAAATTCTGATTGGTCGTTTGAAGAACAGAAAAGCTCTATGTTAGAGTACTTTTGGATTGAAAGTCACAAAAACAAAACCCAGCCTCTTTAGTCGAAACGGTGCAGCAGAACAAAGGAAAGTATCAAAAGAGTTAAACGAGAACTGAAAAGAAACAGACATAAAGGTGTTAATCATCATTATTTATCGCCGATGGGGGTAAGGAAGGGGGGAGGGGTCCGGAGGATTTTGTTTGTGTAATGATAAATTTACCTGACCCCGAGGCTCTTTAATATTCTCATGATTCCTCTTCTGTTGGCCACGACTTAGTCCTCTCCGTTATCCCGGAAAGTTATGAGATCCCCTAAAATTCTCCACCCCCCTCCTCCCACCCCGGCGATAAATAATCAATAGTCGAAGAAAAAAGCTGGACTTTTCGAAAGACACACAAGTAATGACTTCAAAGTTGATTTGGGAAAGAAATTTGAGCTTACCACGAGAATTGCCAAGATTGGTCCTTTATACAGCCATTCACCGTCATTAAGCCAGCACCTTGAAAAGATTACAATATTCCAACATGACTAAGTAAGGAAAAAGGAAAGCAGATCGATGCACTTAACTTATTTACTTGGAACTTTCCGTTTTGTTGCAAGAAAAGGAAAAACAGTAAGAGAAAAATTGATATAGAAGAGTTTGTGAATCTAACCTTTACGATTCGCAAAAAGTAAAGAAACAGACATTCAAAACATTATAAATCAAACACATGGACCTTTTAAAAGAAAAAGTGTGGCAGTTAAAAGAAACAGTTAATGGTCCTAATCGAGGAAGTTGTAGAGTTATACCAACCTGTCACGTATAATCTCCGCTGAAAGTTTCAGTGATCCACACATGACGTCCTTGTAGTATGTCTTGCTCATATCATATGTCACAGGTCTGATGGCTGCTATTAGACCCACAGTAACAACTGGTAGACCTGTGGTCAAAGGAGGTCGGTATACTATGAAATCACAGATCAAAGTACCCCCGGTTATCGGTTAATCTGATTGTAAACAAAAGTTTCCTTCCGGTTATGATCCCAATGTCAAGTCTAACGGCAGTAATGTTGCAGAACTACTATATGTGGACGCACCGCACTTAATGTCGCGTCAAACACCATAGAAAGAGAAAAGCCATGATAACACCACACACTACATTATATAAGGTAAGACTGAGGTATAGCATCTAAGTTACATTCCTCTCAGAAGCCTCGTTCTCGCGGTCTTTACTGTAAGTTACGAACCGAGTTTTTTCCGCTCGGACTTTTGGCCCAAGCGCTAAAAGTACGGGCTATAGATTGGAGTGAAAAAAATAAAACGGGTTCCATCACTTACGGGACAGACCGAGAAGACGAGGTTAGTAAGATAGTTACTAAAAATGTGGGTTTAAAAAGAGGAGGGAGATTTAAATTCAAATAAAATTTTGAGTTTAGAGGGCGGTACAGTGATTTATGGACCGCTAGGGTCCGTTGGGCTAACCAATCATAGTGCATGTACTAGATATGAGAGATGATAAAAGCTGTAAACAGAGCCTTACCCCACCCGATGACAATGTATGTGATGTAGAGCTTGTGGACTGAAAACACTTTCACCAGCTTGATGTAAAGATGAATTCCTTCAACCAACATCCACGTGAAAATAGCGGTGTGTGTAATATGTTGGAGGACAGCCATAGCTGAACATAATTTCTACGATATCATGAAAAAAAAAAAAAAAAAAGAAATGTCTAGGTGTTTAAAATCAAACAGCCATGTTACTCTGGTTTTTCAAGCGGAAAAAAAGTCAAATAAATCAAGGAGTATGGGCTCCTGCAAGATTTGCTACAAGCTATTAAGGAAATAGTGTGTTCTTATTATCTGAGCGGGAGGGCCGGACGGGAAATATTTGGCTCATGATGACAACTTACGGACTTTGCTGCGCTTAGTCCACACGGCATGACCCGCAGAGCCAAATATTTTCCCGTCTGACCCGACCTTGCCAGTCGATACACATTTAAGCGTAAGACTGCCGTCTTTCTCGTTCTTCCTTTCTTCTTACATATTTTCATCCTCACATCTCGCGGGGAGATACGCTGGGCTATGCGACTTTTCCCGACCCTGCTCGTGCCATTACGTACATTTCTTAAACCGGGATTTTTTTTAAGTGTTATCAGAACTAATAAGGATCAGGATCAGTTAAACTCACCGGTGTCTGCTTCCTGTTTGTAAAAATATACGAGTCGAAGATCATCAGCATGTAAACCAGGCATATGGATATTAAAAGGTTTTTATGAACAAATATTCTCTCGGAGTTTCTTATCCTGTGTTAGAAAAGAGGTCACTCTGTTAGCTTTATAGTCGGTACTTCATCTTCAATTACTGTTTTGTTAGTAATTCAGTTGCAGACTAAAGTTCGGCTGGTCAGATATATATATATATATATATATATATATATATTAACTACTGGTCTATCAGTCGGAAGTCAGTCCACGTTTGTACGTACGGTAGTAAGCGAACAAGTCAGTCCTTTAGTCGGTAAGTTAGTCAGTTAGCCAGTCCGTCAGTCATACGGTAGTTAGTCAATCAATCAGTCAGTCAGTCAGTTGGTCAGTCAGTCAGTCAGTCAGTTGGTCAGTCAGTCAGTCAGTTGGTCAGTCAGTCAGTCGGTTGGTCCAACAGTTGGTCCAACAGTTGGTCAATCAGTCAGACGGCCAGCCAGCCGGTCAGTCAATTAGTTAGTCAGATAGCTGATAGCTGAGTCATTCCGCCCGTCAATCGTCAGTCTGGACAGTCAGTCCGCCAGTAAGGCAGTCCACCGGTAAGTCGTCAGTCAGGCAGTCCGACTACTGTCTTATGCATAGATCAATTCGAAGCTTCAATATCCCTTCCGGGCGTTTGAACTTTCGAAGATTAGCGTCTCAGTCAAATCCCCCTCCCCGAGCCAAACTTGCGCTCGAAAAAAGCTCATGAAAGCAGACTCTTTACCTTTAAACTCCTCCTTTGAAAAACGTGTATTACGTTAATAAGACTTGATACTTACCGTTCAAATGCCCCACCTCATCCCAAGCAAGGTTCAAATTCCCCTTCCCCGGCCATAGATGACATTCAAATGTCAGTATGGTGCCCGGGGATGCTGAAAACTTCGAATTGATGGGCATATTAGTCACACTTCTGAGTATCAAACTGACTGAGCACCTTAGGCAGGAAAGCAGTATTAAGCAAATTATAACAACCACTGTAGAAATGCTGCTGAGAACAAGATCCAGGTGAGTTTTAACCATAACTTTCCTCTCTTTTTCCTCATCTCTAACTTCCCTGGCAGTGATTTTTAATGTTCCATTTACCTGAAAAAGAAATTTAACTGATTTAACCAAGGAAAGTTTCTGTAACTTTGACAACTGGCCACTAATTTGCTGCATAAAAGAATGAAAGTCGTATACTACCCCTCCCCCCTCAGCACCAACGATCTAGCTCTTTACCGTTTATAATTCAAGTTATTTGACTTACATCATATTCAATCCAAGCACAGTTGAAACGTTGAAGAGGAACAAGGACGCGACTGAAATTCATCTAGTGAGAGAACAACAGGAGGTGTTCTTTGAGTCAAAGCTTTCCTCCTTAAATTTCGCTTGATAAGATGGATGTGCTCTCAAAAAAAAGGTCATTTTAAAGAAAATTAGAGTGGGTTCGATAAGCTTTAAAATTGAGTATAAAAACTGATCAAATGATATCCCATGGTTCCTATTGGTACCTATATTATTATTATTAAAGATAGGAGCATATTAAAGTGAAAACTTTGTTTTTGGTCGATACCCCTGGGATTGAGATAATAAACAAAAAGATCCCAACTGAAATGTGACCTTGAGGTCATTTCCCTCAAAACGATTTTTTTTCAGACATGATCAGTTTCCCTCGTACTTTAGAATTCACGGGGGCCTTTTTACTTTGGTTTATTACTTGCCTCGCTTGTGATGTTTCCCGGAGGAAGTGAAAGGGAGCTGACAGTATCACTTCCTGAGGACAGCTGGTTTGGATCAATCCTCAGATTAAGAACCGGTCGCATCCAAAAGTTAGTTACACCAGGAGAATCTGGGCTTATGTTGCCTTCTCCGGAGAATGGAGGAGGAATTTCACTATAGGATATACAGAAGTATGCGAGAACAGATTCCATGAAAAACAGCAATGAGTAAGGAATGAGTCCATTCTTTACAATTAATGTTGTCAAAACCGTAAGAGCATTTCCATGGGTATCGTAAAATAAAAACTAGATACTAACAGCCAAAAAGGGTAGAGGAAAAATATTTCAGGGAGCCAATGAGAATTCAAGCTGTCTGGAGCGCGGGAAAACGCGAGTGATTTGTTACGATTGGTTTTAATGGTGATTCTGATTCAGGCTCTCTTAATTGCCGTACACCTGCTAGGATCATTGCTTCACGCATTTTCAGTCTAGTTTAAACTAGAATTTCTTTGCTTTACTTACTATTTCAACGATCTTAGAGTGAAACAAAACCGGAAGGTATGCGTCAGATTTGAGGCTCCGCAAACAAACTCCTTGATATCTTGTATTAATGACCAGCGCTGCGAGTACGTCTGCGAAAACAACCAAGACGGTAACAATTTAGTGACTTAAACAAGTTCGCCATCCATAGAAATCCACGTTCATGGCAAAGTTTCGGTACAATTTTTTTGAATAGCTAGAAATTTTCCCACCCAGTTTGAAGAAACAGGGATGGTGCAGTGATGAGAGCACTCCCGCCCACCATCATAGCCCGGGTTCGATTCTGGCTTCACATGTGGGTTGAGTTAATCATGGTCGGTTCTCGTCTTTGCTCCGAGGGTTTTCCACCAGTTTTCCTCGCTTCACAAAAAGCAACATTTCACAAGAGTAGACAGGAAGAGCCATCCAGTGGAAGGTCCATTGCTAAATTCCCATTTACTTATCCCAATTTTATTATTCATTCCCACTCCCATTTGTCCTGCTTTTATTCTCATAATCCGGAACAAAGGAAATTGATTTGTTTATCTTCATTATCATTATCACATTTGTCATCATGTGAATTTTCGTCTTTGGCGATTAATTCAGTTTTCTTTCCAGTTTTCCTTTTCGTTTTCGAATTGGTTAAAGCCATCTGGCTTTGTTGCTCGTTTACGTCGGTAAAAAACCCTTTAAAAAAACGGTGATGTGGCGTAGCACCTTTAAAGGTGTGTGCCACACTTACCTCATCATCCTAACCGAGTTCGAGGTCGGTAGTATAAGTTACAGACAGAGTTTTTTTCTGCTCCTATCTATAAGTCCGAGCAGAAAAAGAGGTTTCGTAACTTGCAGTGCGGACCGAGAAAACGAGGTTAGCCAAGATTTCTATACTATTTCTGAGTTCAAGTAGAGGTCCAAGATTTCAATTTAAACAAACTTTTGAATTAAAAGGGCTGTGCAGTGAAACACGACCCGTTAAATCACCCAATCATAGCGCACGCACTGACTTATAGATATGATAAAGTTGGTTAATTTTGTTACAAAAATTATGAATAAGGCCTTTAGATGGAATATTACTTTCAAATAAAAAATCTGGTCGTTAATTATGTTACTTGTTTATTCGCTTGCATGTTTTAGCTTTGCGTTTTCTTTTTCTACAGTATGTTTCATGCATGCTTACCACTTCTTTGGGACAAAAGGAGTCTGAGTGAGGCTTGAAAACGTTTTCGGTTTGAGTTGTTTGGAATATGGCCTTAAGAGAAAGAAAATATATATATGAAAAGCTCATAATTTGCAGTCCTATGAAAGGTCAGTTTGAAAATGAACCCCCAGACAATCATTAAAAAGACCTTCTTCTGGATCTGCATTTTGAAATCCAGTAAGGGAACGGTCATTATTTATCGCCGGGGAAACAGGATTTTATGTCACAATATGATTCCCGGGCTCTGTAGTATTGCTAATGACCCCTCTCTCACCGGCAGTCAATCTTTTATGGTCCTCCCTCCTCCCTAATATACTCTGTTAGCGACGACTAATTCCCCCCCTCGTTCCCCCTGAAAAGAATGTAAACTCCCAAACTCTTCCGACCCCCCGCCCCGAGTTGATTAAACGCGACCCGTCCGTAAGGGGTTTCTTAAATTCTTCGATAACTTATGTAGATAAATCAAGCCTCTAGGAAGACCTTTATTTGATTTATTAAAAAAAAAGTACCCATAATTTTTTTTTAAAAATTCCTTTGTCCTTTGTTAAAAGAGTAGTAAAGCGCATATATAATTTTAAACTGACAAAGAATGTAAAGTCTGTCATATGGTCCTAAAGGCTAAAATTCGTACCTGTGAGAAATTGAGCGCCACCATATCGTTGGAATGGTTGACTGGATTTAGTAGGAGAGCTCCACTTTTAAACCAAAGGCTCAGATAATTAAAGAACAGTTCTTTGTTTGTAAAGTTAGTGGCCTTGTTCACAAATGCTCTTGTTAGTTCCAAAATGTTTGTTAGATTCACTATGGACAGCTGAAAATGAATAGAGGGAAGCCTTATATTAGTTCCAGTAAACTCAGTTGTTTACCCAATGAACTTTAAGACAAACACGATGACGATATTAACTTCTTCGTTCGTGCGAACGCGAATCAAACAAACTATTTCAATTAGGGCATTTGATTCTTGGCCACTGTAAAGAGTTCTAAATCTGATGTTTTACGCTTTAACCCTTCGTCAGAGCGAATTACAAATTCTACAAACTCTAGATGGTGGCCGATTTATGTAAGCAACTCAATTAATAAAACCAAATCATCTTAGTTGTTATATTCCTTATCGTTTCTTTAGAAACTTACCGTCCCCTCTTACTACATGCAAAAACGAAAAAATTTGAAAATAAATCAAAAGCTTGATTTATTTATTTGCTATTCCAATTGAGTCATGTATCGCGTTTCAAACAACCGCGGATTAGAATACATCGGAATCAAACTACTACATACTTTATGCCTGAATTCTTGACGAAGAGATTTTTTCGCAAAAACAGCTTTCTTTGAAACTCCACTTTGTCATATCACCATACGGTGAAGAACAACGGTTCGTGAAATTTCCTGTGGCCAAATGGAAATAAATAAGTGAAAAGTAGGTTGCTGAGGTACAAACAATATTAAATCTATCTTAACAATCTAATGATGGTGATTCCAAGTCTAACTGAATATCAAGTACAACCAGCAGCAAATGCTGTAAGCTTACGCGAATGCCTGACGAAGTAAGCTCCATAGATCTGATTAAATTTTGTATCGGGTTTACACAATGAAAGGATATTATAGAAAAATTAACACAAGCACTGAACACAGTCTGAACCTTGGAATAACAACTGATCGGTTTAAGTAATCCTCCTGGCGAGGAAAGAACAGAAATTTACTGTTACTGGCCGTGGTGCATGACTGAAATTTCTATAAACGGAATGATAGTCACAGTTAATTAACTTACTTTGTACGATAAATTTGTTGAAACTTTAGTCAACGTTACTGACTTTTCGAATTCAGGACGTGCTCTTCTCACCGGAGTGATCATACTCCATGATCGGAGAAAAAAAATGTCATGTGAAGTGCACTAAAACAGTAACCTGTTTTCCACCCACAACTGGGCACTTCGTTTGACTTCTAGGAGTTATATCGTTTCCTTTTAACCTTTTTAATCCCAGAAGTGACTAAGATGTAACTTCTCCCTGTAATATATATACTACCCTGAAAACTGGTAATGAGAACACTCAAACTTAACAGATAGGAGATGTTGCCTTCATCTCACACCAAATTCTTGTCGCTTATTCACAAGGTACCACGAGGAAGCATAAAGAGAAAATTAACAATCAGATCTTGGAAATTAAATTTTTTTTCACAAAATAACATTTTTTTTCGACGAAGCGTATCAAAACATTTTTTTACCTCCTAACTCTGGATCCATCTCTGAACAGTTCCTTACAACAATCTCATTCAGGGCAGTTCTTTCCCAGTACATATTGAACTTCGTGTAAAATGGACAGAAATCTGAAATAATTATTTAAAAATTCCACTTCAAAACAGCTTTCGCAAAAAATATTCATGAAAAGGCATGAGTGCTTTTTTTTCCTTCTGTAATCAACATCTTCAAAGTGCAGACTAGGATGTTAGTCAACACCATTATAGGAGGAAGATCAAACACCAGTCATTATTTTTCGCCTGGAAAGTAGGAGGGTTAAAGGATTTCTGGGGGAGGGGGTTTCCAACTTTATCGTGACACAACAAAAATCATCCGACACTACCATCTCCCCCCCCCCCCCCCCCCATCAGGGTGATCAATGATGACTAGTCCCTAAAAATAAAGGCGCGCTCGACATCAGTCGAAGGTTTTTCAAGTCCATTATTAGCAATGTATTGTCATTATCAACCTATTGTCAATCCTTTTCAACCTCAACCTTCGTCGTTTCTTTTCGCTTCATCCTCCTCATTTTTATGCTTTCTGTCTTGCAAAACTAGTATTTCGTGGTCTTCATCATTTTGAAGAAAACTTTTTGCGCGTTACGGGATAATACGGTTCAAATTCCGGTGACAGCCTCCGGAAACTCTCAAAACTCTAGCCGTTATTCATCGCCTATAGTAGGGGAAGGGGGTAGCGGGTAGGGGGGAGGGGGGAGGGCTATGAAGATTTTGTAGTGTCACGGTAAAACTTACCAGATCCCCCAGAAGGCTCTTTAATATTCTTATGATCCCCTCCCATCAGCAGTACATTGGTAGTCAATTTGACTATAATTCCCCTTTTTATTTGTAATATTCTATTGGTGGTAACTGATCTTCCCGTCCGTTCCCCCAGAAGACCATACGATCCTCCATTATCCTCCGAACCCCTTCCCCCAGACTAAAAATGATGACTAGTTCCCAGGTCTTACTCATCGCCATTTACACTTACACTGAACGCAATCTCTCTCGTCAGACTTGTCCCTGCAGTCTGCTTTCTGACTACATCTGTCGTTAAGTGATCTTATTTCATCTCCACTCTTACAGAGGTACAGTCTTTCATCAGATATGAGTGATAAGTTTCGTACTCCTGAAAAAAGTGTAGAAACACAAACAGCCTAAAAAATATCGGAAAAGATTTTTGTATAATGCAAAGCAGAATAATTATTTTTCGACGTCCACAAATCTGAGCGGGAATGTTAAAAAAAAGTAGCTTGAAGGAGCATGTTTTTCAGGGCAAAAAAAAAATGTATGTCCCTTAGAGTCTCTATGACACGATGGATGTCTCGATAGTTAGTGGCCCCTGGAACAAACCTGTAAAAGCCCCTGTACATTGCACGTGACCAGCTTCCAAGTAGCATCCAGGCCTCACTCTCTGCTTTTCTGAGCTGCAAAAGAAGTCAACTCCATTCTCTGTCCAGCGGTAGCCTTCCAGATGGGTTTGGTTCCTCCATATGCAAACTAACGTAATGCAGAAAAGTCATTTACATGGGAATGGGTAACTTAAATTTAATTCTTATGAATTGTGGTGGTAAACCAGCTTTTAGGTACAAAATACATGATAATTCACAGAGAAAATTAGCTAGAATAATTGCAGCTCTTGTGATTACAGGATGAGACCTCTTTGGAAAATCATTGTTCTCCATTTTTAGACAGGTATTTGGCTTTCCCTTCACAATCACTTGCCTTTACAGATTCCTCTCTTTGCTTTCAAGAACGCCGCTACGTTACAATCCGGTTGACTACAGCGCTCAGTGTTTTCGTCATTGGATGTAATGACTGACAGCGTTTTAGAACACGAGATAACGCCATTGTGACAGTAACAGTCGATGCAGTCACCAATAGACCAGCTGCTTCCATTGATATATGTATTTGCATCCTCGTCCTGACACAAGTCATCTGAGAAACAAATCATCAGCAGATAGGGACTGAAAAAATCTGCTTTGACAGGAATTGAGTGAGTGTAGAGAAGGAACCTTCCCCCGTCTCTCCTCATGTGGTGTTTAATCTTATGGTACTTCCCCTAAGGCTATTTTTTGGCACACTTCCCTTGGAGATCCAGGCGGATCTAAAAATAGTGAATTTAATGTTGCTAATTCTGCTCACATCCCATGATCCCACACGGCTTCTATGCGTTCTTCATTGAGACGTCAAGCAACACACTAAGTGAATGTACATTGGTCTCGGAAGACCAGATACCTAATTCTAAAAATAGCTTGAGAGTAATAACGTTTGAAATAGGGCTTACAAAGGGATACAGTCTCATTAACTTATTCTCTCTGAGCTGTCGCTGACGTCTATGCATTGGTTTTATTACAAAGTTGCACAAACTTTTCTGTTTAATAATTAGGACATTTGCTCCGAGAGAACTCACAAACTTTATGTTACACGTCCATTCTCGATAAGGGAATGTGACTAGGTTGTAAAAGAGAAGGAGTCCGGTCTTTTGGATAAAATTCGATTCGATAGTGATGGATTCAAAACATAGACCAAGACGATTAAAAAAACCCAGAAACTAAGTCCTTTCGATACAGCCTAACTCAGTTCGATACAAACAAGTGAAAGATAAATTTGGATGTCAAAACGGCAGTTTTTCGGCGATATATCTTGCCTTATTTAATCTGCATACAACAATTTGTCAATGACCTTTGTCTCGGTATTTTTATTGATCTTATTGATTTTATTTAACTACCGCTTGCTAGGGTAGTCGAACAACAAAGAAAGTAGTAATAACCTAAAATAAAGAACATCTGCTGAGAATGGAGAAGATTAACACAGCTTGAAAATGAGAACTAGATTTTTTTAAGATGGACCAGCCATATCGAAGCCTCTTAGAAGTCGCTCTAATCAATCAAACTTACCCGTTTTGCAGGCGCCGTTTCCCGGAAGGCAACTCAGGTCGATAATGTCACACTGATCATCACTGGCTATCAACTGAAGTCCTCCAGGACACATCTTCATACCCCAGCGCACCTGACTTGCAAGTTGTGGGAGTGCTATGAATTACAAAACGCGCCTTCAGTGTGAAATTGAGAGCAATTTTTCAATTGAATGCTGAATGCAAATTCGTAATTGCTTTCGTTTTGCTTCAATACACTAACCACTTTGTGATAGGTCCAAAAAACTCGCACGCTGCATGTGCAAATCAAATGCAAAACAGTCAATCACTCGTGTCAATCACCCGACGCTTATAGCATCTTGTCAATTATTACTTTGCATTCCCATTGGCTAATGTTGATGTTCACCTTGATTCCAATTAGCTGTTGTCATAACTTTGGAATTCGTTTTTCGAAAACTGACAAATAATCGTTTCAAAAAGATGATAACATTGCTGTTAATTCATTTGGATTAGGGAAGGGATGGTCACAATTGGCCATCCATATTATTTCAATATCTATAATATTTTACCTGGGCATTTCTCAGCACAACAGACTGCTCCATTGTAGATAAAACAGGTTGATAGAGACATTTGTGGGCACCCTGTGGTCTGCTTGTGTCCTTCAAAGAGGAATTGACACCCTTTGTAGTCCCAGTTGTCTCCTCGTGACAAAATGTGGCCACCTTCGACGGTTTCAATTACTGAGTAAAGAAATATTTATTATACGGATATGAAAAAATAACAATGTCAGAGGTAACGGAGTTGAGCTAAATTATAAAGAGTGGTAGAATACGGTAGTTTTAATCGCTCTGTGTTATTTATTTTGAGAGAGTAGCCGAACCAACAGGTGCTATCCAGAATTGAGCCTAGCCGGTTTTTACCAGTTTCATCGAGTAAAAATAAAGCCATGAAAATGGTTTTTGCGGTGATTTCAATTTCCGCCCGGGTCAACATTTAGTAGCTTGTTTTGATAAGTATGGATCTAATGGGCGAATCCTGATGATGTATGCTAATTTGGTTAAAGTGATCTTTAAGGTAGCTCTCGGCATAAATTGAGTCTAAATCTTTAACCTGACGTGTACCTTCACAAGTTTCTCTCCTGGCTTTAATAAACTCCACAGCGTTACACCCTGGTTGTTCACAGGACTCATTAAAAGGTACGTATGCCAAGTGTTTGCCTGGGAAGTTGACTTGAAGTGTCCTCTTGCATTTCAGACGACCCCCTGTACACTCGCAGCTGAGACAGTCGGACACCTGGAATGATATTAACAATGAACTCTTCAAATGTTATTCGAGCTGACATTACAAAAAGAAAAGCTAAGCTTTCCGAATGATAAATTAGTGTACTGCTTTAGTTATTCTAAGGGTTGAATTTTTACAAGGTTTGCCATAAGTATAAAAATTTACCTTCCAAACATCTTTTAGAATTAGAATCTGCCCTTCCTCATCACGACAAATAACTAAAACAACAACAAGAAATCATCAGTATTTATTTTTAATTAAGTTTGTCTCCGATGATTTTTTTTCCTTCCTTTTTCGTATGAGCGATGGGGAGGGGGGGGGAGAGGAAAGGGGGAAATGGGGAGGAAAGGAGGAGTGGTATAGGGTGTTGCTAAGATTAGTGAAAGCTCAGTTACTTTAAAAAGTCGGATTTATTAACTCACCATTCTGACACTGCGCCTCATCAGAAGCGTCCGGACACTCCGCGACTCCATTACACACGTGTTCTTTCCTTACGAAGTGGCCACTGGAACAACCAAATACCTCATTTAAAGCCTTGAGCTGAAAGAACACTGGAAAGAGAAGAAGCTTTTAACATGGATAATTGCGCTGTGTAATGTCATTCGTTGGTTGATCAAAACGAGTCGCTCTCTCTACTGGTAGGGGAGGTAAGTGTAAAAAAAAATTGGCTCAACTTGGCCAGAAAGCAGTCATTTTGGATATTTGATTCGGTAACTGATGATTTCTCACCATTACAATTTCGCCTCTTACCATCTCTGCGATTTCGCTCCACATCCTTCAACTGATTAAGGTGGGGACAATTTTGTTTCATGTTAGGAAGGGGGTTTATAAACCTGTGATTCAGATCGAGAGTAACTACATGATAAATAACAAACAATCACATTTCATCATTGCAGTGATTTAACAACGACACTTCATTTATTATTGAAACCCACCCTGGCAAGCAGCGACTGTCCCATCCCCTGTTGGTAAAATATCGTTACTTGGCTGATGACATGGTATACATCTTCCAATTGTCTCAACTTGGAATAACCCATACTTGATAGTCACGCGATACTTCGCACAACTGATCAAACCATCCACGCATGAGCAATTGAAACAGACTCCAGAAAACCAGTGGGTACCATGATCCCGCACCATGCCTTTCTCATCGGTGCAGGCTGGCCGAGAGAGCTTGGTACAGGTTATCTTTCCATAGCTACAGGTACACTTAGTCATGTTGTCGCTAAGCCACTCATGTCCATCTACAAAAGCGTTGCCATGGGAATCCCAGCAGCCACTTTCAGTTTTTTGGCACTCGACTTTAAGATTGGGTGCACATGTACATTTGAACAAAGGATTTGGGTTCCAACTCTGCCATACGTCATAGCTGTTTCCTTCTTTGTCTCTGCAACCTACCAGAAATTCAGAATAATAGGCGACCAAGTGGTTACCACGCATAAATTCTCGATGCAGGCAGTCACGGGTCACCTTTCTTTGCGTACTATCCACGGTTATGCCATTTGTAGCTACGAATGGCTTCAAAACTAAGTACCTCATTTTACTGGGATCAAAGTCTTCTAACAACGAAATATGTAATGGAAGTATTCAGTCATGCGGAGTCTGGTTTCCGCAGTTTTATCTATTCGGTTGTTTCTTTTAAAGGAAAAATCCATGATCTATCACCTGGGAGGACGAGGTAAGGAGGATTTGGGAGGGGGGGAATTAAAGGGGCATTAGTCGACCCCCATATATTATAAAGGGGGGGAGGACTAAAGATAATTGCTCGCCAATCAACTGACGATGAAAGGGGGACCATAACAATATCATAGAGCCTTAGGGGGGATCACAACCAAATTCATCCTTCTTCTTCACCCCCCCCCCCCCCCCCGCCGATAAATAATGATCAGTTCATAACTGGTTTCTGTGTCACTTACCAGCTTCTCCTGCTCCACAGTATCGCAGGCTGCAGGAGTCTACACTTGTAGGAAAGTGTCCAAATTTGTACACCATAAAACCACTGCAGTTTTTCACTAACACCAAACTATACCAGTGACAACAATTGGTATCGTTTGTAAAGCAAACCATACGCTGCACCACGCCCTCCTCCACAGTTGGGTGTTTGCCATTCAACCAACCAGGTGACAGAGTACCACAATGCATTCTGGGCACGCAATGTGTCGGCATAACAGCCCCTGCCCGGCCAGCCAGCCTGTACCAGCCACTGGGTAGGTAGGCGTCACACTTCAAAGTGTTGTAACTGAAATAGTCTGCGGCTCTATCACGTGCGTTGAGTGTGTTGTAGTCAGTGCATTCATCGCCTACTAACAATTAAATAAACAAACAGACATACAAACAGTTATCGAAACAAACAATAGAAATCGACGATATGAAATTCTTTTGTTCATTTGAAACGTAGAGACGATCATTCTTTTAATTACAATGAACAAACTTGAAAAGTTTCGGCACAATTTTCGCTAACACGTTTCTGTTTAAAGACTTAACTTCGTGTTGCTTGGTTTAACGAAGTAAACAATTATCGCAAATGAGATTAGAACTGAAATAACGTCATAAAGTTAACGTGGATAACTCTTTAAAAAGGGTAACTCTTTTTCCATATCACATGCTCATCTTGACATCCATGAAAGCATTAAAGTTTGTAACGATGGCATAAAATTTGAGAACGTTTCCAATCTTTCTGACAAAATTTTGTTGAAGAGGAGGCGTGGAAAAGGCTGCAGTTGTGAAAATAGAATACCAGTGTCTGTGTTCAAGTTGAACTTTCACTCACAATTAAACAATCAATCAATTCATTATCATTTTAAAGGCTTTAAACTGCCTTTCTTATATTACCTAACTTATTCTTGATTGCTACCTGCTTAGGCGGCAATGATCCTGAAATAAAGAAAGTCTCTCTGAGAAAATTTGTCCAGATTTTATGAATTAAAGTCAGTATCAGCAAGTCTTTGGGTTAAAACGTGGGATATCAAATTAACTAACACCCATCCCTCCCCTGAGGGACGCAAAATGGATGAAACCTCCCCCTTCTCTCGATAAAGAATTCATTTTACATCTCAAACAACTCCCAATAACTTTTATTTTAATAAAAAGGCAAAAACAAAGTGTCTTTAATATCGTGGTTATGATTTGAAAGTGGATGGCAGACGATGGAGGAGGCATTTACATTGTAATCTCTGAGGGTTTTCGTCTACAAATGCGATCGATGAAAGGAGTTCGGAGAATATTACATTACCTTCAATACCAGCTCCACACACTCGAAAAGTAAAGCTTAAACCTGCATTCACGTCTAGTTTGTAGACAAAGAAACCGCTGCAGTTCCTCACAAGTACACTCACAGATGTCATGCAACAAACTTGCGACATGGAGAGACATACTGATCGTACTACTAAACCTTCGTCTACACTTGGATGGTTACCCGCCAGCCATCCGGGAACTAACGTACCGCAGTGTTCAGCGGGAACGCAAGTTGTTGCCATGCGCGTACCGGCTGAGCCATTGTATGTAAACCAGCCCGTTAATGAGGTATCGCTGGCCTTATCGATGTAGTTGGTAAAAAACCTAGATCTGCTTGCCTCGTTTAAAACTGTGTGGTTTGTGCACTCGATTGCTATAGAACAGGAAAAAAAACAAACAACTTAACATGGATCTTTTTGTTTCTCGTCTTATGAAAGTTTGGATGTCAATCAAACCGAGAAATAGTAAAGGGAAAAAAAGACATTTCTGATTCCACTACGACGAAACGCACCCCTTTCCATGTTTTTTTAACTAAGCTAAAGGGTACTCTATGGCAAGCTAGACTAGTTTAGATTCATGTCCGACAAATGTCTTCTATCTTGCTACTATGTAGGATCAAAAACGATCAAGCGTCTTAGTTCTCTATCACCAACTTACTTAAAATAATTTCTTTTTTCTTAAAAATTTCGAAACCATATCTAATCGTTTCTCAAAAACCATACTTTTTATTTCCAAAGAAAATCAATCTTTATTTGACTGGCGCAGCGCCTTCAAGCAAATTACGGCATTTTCTCTACTGAGAAGAAATACCAGCCTGCTTTCGTTAATAATGTTTAAGCCTTACTGTAATATTCCCCGGTTCCAGCAATTTTGGCAAGCTTAAGTAGTTTAGATCGTGTGACGTGTCCTGTGAAAAGCAGCTGGCTTCTACCTCTGTCAAAATGTTGAGTCAACTTTAAGGTACAATAAAAAGAATGGAAACAACGTTACCAGGATGAGGACTGGAAATCCCTTCACGTGAAGAAAGTATGGCCACAGCAAACAGTGCAATGAAGTGGTGCAGCATCTTAACCAGTATGTATTATCCTGGGCAGTTTTAGGAAATAAAATTGCTTTTATCAAACAGAGAGAAACATTTTCTATACCTTTTAAAGCTACGAAACCTCTTTTTAAAGCGCAAGTACCTTCTTTACACGAAGGTAGATTTAACTAAGGTGTGCCGAAAAGTTAATGCAATACTCTTCTAAACAGTTGTCTGAAAGATGGGATCAAATCCTCGTCGCAAAGCTTCGTGTCCAGGGTTTGACCTCATCGTACCCTTTGATTCATTGGTGAGTTTTTCAATAACTTTCAAACACGTACTTGCATTTAACGGTGCGCATAAAAATTCACTCTGGTTAGAAAAAGCGAGAACAATTTGTCCATGCATTATGGAAGATGTTTACGACGAGAGCTTGGCATACACTCAGTGGAGTATCATCAATGTCTGTTATTACCTTGTATCGAAGTTATAGAACGCAATGCTAATTTAGTAAACACATAGAACTCAAATTTTACCTGGTCAATACTTAAAGCCAACAGTTCCTTTTGAGGGTTTTCAACCAGCTCGTTCCGTGCAGTGCGACATTTATCCCTCTACATGTAACAAAGCCCCATTTGTACTTGAGTTAAAAACTTCGTATTATGCACCAGCTATTGTAATAAAATATTTATAGATGTTTATGTTAAAAGCTTGGTACTTATAACTAAAAATTGAGCTTTTAAACGTATAAAATATAAGTTAGATCTCGAAACAATCACAAATTTATATAAGAGTATTTTAATATGAATAAAAAGCTTGATTACATGATTAAATTTCAGGGTTTCAAGACAATTTCTTTCGTAGTACTTTGTTCTTAATATAAAATTCGCTAAATTTTGATATCCAAAATTTTTGTTCGTCAATTTTCATTAAAAATTCATATCTCGATATAATTGACAAGCCGAAGGCAGGCGATATTCTAGTTGCAAGATTTCCTCCTTTGAGGTTACTGCCATTTTTATCTGGTCTGGTCAATTGATCTTGTTTAAAACCGTGTTGGACAAATCACTTTACTGTCTGTCTGAGTATGGATGCAGTAAAACTTTTCAAACATCACGTCAACACGTCTTTCAATTTTCATCCAAGTACATTCTCGATCTTTTAATTCGTCGAATCATGATTAAGGGTTTGTTTAATTCATAACGGAAGAGAAAAACCGCAGACATAACGACTCAGATGATCCATGAGTAAACAAAAACTTTTCATTATGTGTGAATGACCAAATCACCTGCTGCCGACAAAGTGAAAAAGCTTTAGTAAAAGTGAAAGTAGATTTTGACAATTTGCGATAAAAATTTCAACCGAATTCTGCATGAAATCCCTCTTGGCGAAAGAAGAAAAACATGACCGTTTTGCTTCATATAATCGTCTTGTTTCACATTTTGAATAATAAAAAAAATGGAAAGATAAAATTGATGAATTACCGAAATGAGATGAGCGGAAAACGACGCAAGTATAATATTTATAACTTCCGCCTACGTTTCTTCTTCAACTTTGTGCGTTGTTGACAGACGAGTAAAAAGTAAAATTCAGAAATAAGGAAATTAATCGACATAGTAACACCACTACCGCGGAAGTGACTGCGAGTTTGCGTTTATAATAACCATTTAGTACCAAACTGTTAACGCGCGTATCAGAGAATTTAGCCTCTCACCTTGCGTAATGCAAGGCAGGAGGTATAAAGCTTAGGGACTTAACCGAACAAATTATGTTAAAATATTCAGTTTTTATGTTAAGTCTGTACACCTTATCATCCAGGGAAAGTTGGAGAAACCTTTCGTTTTCCAGTTTTGGAGACTAAACAAGCATAAATTACCTTTGGGTTAACTTGATTCCGAGCGAAAGCGAAATGGAGCCAAAAGAAGAATCAATTGGTTTAATTTCCAGTTGCGTGCGGACACGATAGGATGTGAAACTCAAACAAAGATAAGATGGATAACTACAATTAACAATCATACATCATATCAAAACAAAATAAATTGCTTCAAATTACACCGCACAGTTTGCGACTCTTATGATAAGGTAACATTGCTGCAAACATTGACATCCAAATTACTTGCCTTCTTGTCTATGTGTGTGCATATGTCTTGTCTAAAGGGTCATGTTGGGCCAGTGCTTCCCAGTCCATGGTTCAAAGCTCTATATGTTTTAGATTGTTACACATTTTGTACAAGACAAAAACTTCAAGGGAACTGTACCATTATCAAACTTGAAAACCATTTTGATTAGTTTCATTACGGGAAGAAAAAAACTGGTTAATGTAGGCAGCAAGGAACATGTTTACAAAACAGGATAACAATTTAAAACACCTTATTCAATCAATAACAAAGAAACTACGTTCAACTTTGTCTCTGAAAATTGAAACTGAAACAAAAAATACAACTGTTCCCTTTTCAAAAGAAGATAAGTCGAAATATTCCTCACGGGTGAAGTGTATTTCAAGAAAAATTGCTTGGGCTTCGAAGGATTTCAATCAGTTAGGTCCTTTGAGCCCCAAAAATATGGTTTCGTTGCTCAGTGTAGCATGTAGTATCTGAGAGGTCACGCTCGAACATCGTCGAAACTTGAATATATTCGGGCTTCTTCTTCCGCAATTTCTTGGGTTGTGATTGTAATGAGACATCTAAAGACCGGTTTGCTTTTGAAAAAAAGCTGAAAAAAGAACGTAAACTAAAGCAAACAATGTTTTCTACTACCTTTACAAGCTAAGAATCCCAAGAAGGAAATAAGGAAAAATTATCAATCAAACAGAAGCAACCAAAAATTATGAAACGATACGGTGCTGTGACATTACTGAAAACTTCTTTTCTCTTTAATGAGATTTTTCTGTCTGCAGAAGATCTCGCGGACAGACTTTTTTATATTCATATAAAAAATATTCAATTATGGATTTCTTCTTAATTTATCTCAGTTGTTTTTCCAAACCCATGGTAAATTTCGAGCACGGAGACTCGGTGCGCCAGGAATGCATTCCGAGTGTGGAACTAGTTCCATTTTCTGAGCAGGCGCAAGGTTAATAATTAAGTTAGAAAAGTTAACTGCATTTCAAATTTGCATGCAATGCAGGCGGTGTGCGCACTCTGATTGCGTTGCATCATGGTCGTAAAACAAAAAGCGAGTCATTAGCATCCTGTTGCGGTCGAGTGAACATCTCTGGTGGCAGCAAGATAGCGCGAATAAACGTGGAATGTAATAGGGATTCACTCTCTGTTGCCATCCCCTCGAAAGTTAAAAAGTGTTGGCAGGCCTTCGTGACTCCTGTTACTCCACCTTGACAAATTCGTTGTTAGGAGGCGACTGAAGAGATTCAGAAAGAATCGAAACTGCAGCCTTGTCCAAGAATCTTCTCATTTGGCAGCATCAAATTCACGAGTTATTTAACAGGGAATCAACCCTTGACATGCAAACTCATTACAAAGAGACAGCAACCTTCTAATACACGAACTATTTTTCATGTCATACACTTAAAGCGTAAATACGGGATTCGCAAAAGGAGAAGCGTTGCGGCTTCTAAGACCAAATTCGTCACGCTCAACGTTTAATTAAAAAACATACAGATTTTAAAATATGCTTAAAAGAATAGAGAATACCTATAATAAGTTTTTGATAACCGTATCTCTGGAGTTATCTTCTGCGGGAGAGACAGTATACTTGAAAACAAAGAAAATAGCGCGCACACATGAAAATATTACCTTTTGTAACACAATCTCATTCGGCTTTGCCAAACCTCAAAAACATACAGACAGGGAAATTACACCTTAAAACTAACCCTTACTATCACATCGCAAAGGAAAGTCATTAAAAGATACCTTAATAACAGCTAAGTTTCAGGTCAGAAGATTTAAAGGCACAAGCGAATGGCAAGAGTCTCACAAGCCTATCAACACCTTTTCACGATCGACTGCATTTTGCTTTCCGGCTTACCCGGCGTGTCGCCGCGTGCATTGTAGAGTTATTCAGTGGTCAAGTGACTTCTTTCATTGCTCTATTTCAACTGTCCTTCATTCAATGATCAAGATGGTAGATTCACCATACAACACTCGCGATTAGTTCATTTGCTTTTACTTGGGAAAGTAGATTTACTACACAATTGAGTATACGATAGTAACGCTGTGTAACGCAACAATAGGCCTTTTATTGGTCATAATCGGTCTCAAACACTAGCACTTAAAATGCGCTAAAGAAGGATCAAAGCGGCCATCCAAATCTTTGAAAGACTCCAAACTACGACGTACATCAAATTTGACCTTCTCGAAAACTGGTCTCAAATTACATAATAAAAAACTGTGATTGCGTTTGTCCTTGAGAACCATAGAATACGCGATAGATACGTATAAAAAATAGGAATTCGCCAGGACTTCGGACTTCTTCGGAAGGATAGATCTTGAGTTCGGAGCCGACCAATAACGAAGAGTCCACGCCAATTTGCATATCCCAAAGTGCCCTCAACAACTCGTTTCTACGCTATCACGTATCCACGAGTTAAAAACGATGTGAATCATAAATTTTTTAAGCTTTTATGCAAACTTCTTGTAAATCTTCTAAAATCATCTGAGATTAAGAGATAAATTTTTTTCTCTAAAGTAACATCAGGCATAGCTTGAAATAGCTCTGGTGATCCAGTTCCTTATTTGACTCCTATAAGTGACTTAGACAGAATTTCTCATTACAATATCAATAAAATATCAAGCACGCAGGCGATGATAATAAAGAATCATAGGGTAGAAAGTAAGGAGAATTCTGGCCACTGAGATCTTTGGAGTGAAGGGGTTAGTTGCAGTTAAACCAAAGGGCTTTATGTCTTCGTTCCATTACCACCTGTTCCGCCCAATTATCGTGTTGTTAAGGTGACTCCATAAGGTACTCGCTCAGTGTTGGCGCGCGTGCCAACGTATTGGTTTTCCAAAAAAACTCTGTTTTCGCTTTTCTTGGTCATTAAGAGCCATCCGAAGGTGATGAGCAAGGTTCGGTCTATCGTTTGCTGTAGCAAATATTAAGAAAATTATTTTTGGTATTAAACTAAGGCTCCATGAAGGGAGGCGCTTGCCAGCGATAATTTGGCTTTGTCTTTGATTTTCTTCAATTTTCTTCGGTGAAATCTCTCAAAATTTTCACATTTTGTGAAAATTGTCCTGCCGATCATTTAAAAACCGAAAAAAGGGGTTTCAAAGGCACTTTACCTGCTTTTTACAATTTTGTGTTTTCTTCCTCAATCTCAAATTTGGTCTTATGAATTTTTTTTTATCAACAGGCATTAGGAAGGACAAATATGTTTAACGGTCCAGCAAATCTTGGGTCGAAAGATCCCTATTTTCTTTGTCGCAAAACATTACGTAATGGAATAGAAATTCGCCAAGATCGGTATCTGAGCCTGCGTAGACTTTCGAATCTGTCGCCTTTTGGCAGTCTTTCGCACGGTGTTATCTTTTCGATTGACCTCTTTTTCAGGCGAGATGGCCTATGAATATTACGGGTGCAGTTGCTGGAAATCCAAGATTCCATCACATATAAACTGTATTGTGTTCAACTGTTTTTAACACACCTTTTCGGATAACAATCGTGCGATTGTATCGAGCTCGTGCCATGTTTGCACTCAGATCTCGCGCGGTCATAAAACTCTGTGGAGACAGCTTAATCTTAACGCAAACATGGACGTTTTTAGCATAAACACCACGAAATTAGTGCTGACATAAATTACGCAGTGTCCAGTTTTTTAAATAACTGAAAGCTACTAAGAAGATATCTAAGCGACAGTGAGAATAATAAAAATGTGAGAAAAACGAATTAGGAGATGAACTTTGTTCGTTTGTCTCACGGTAGAGTCACTTTTGATGTAGATTGCGACGCTTCGACTGCAATACTGCTAGTCTTCGTCAGGCGATGAGATAGATTGTTTACGTGTCGCTATTTGTAGCACATTGGTTCGCTGTTATTGGTGTATTTCGATCCTTATTATTATTCCGGTTGTTAGATGTTGTTCCCTCACAGGTCCTCTTAAATCGGTTGTTGCTTTGTTTGACCGTGGGTATCCAAGCTTCGGGAATGTCGATTCCGCTATCCCTATTGATGTAGTTGGGATGAAGACTTATATGGATAGCCTCTTTGACCCTACGTCTGTTCCAGTGGGGGTCACGATTAATAAACTTAACCTTGCTCCAAATAGGAATACGCCCCTTTTCGTTAGCGTGCTCCGAAACCGCAGAGGTCTGAGTACGAGCAAACCGTATGCATCTGTCATGTTCTTTTTTCCTTTCTGGCATTGATCTCCCAGTTTCACCGATATAAGAGTTTATAAACTAAAATATTTTTATGAGTTAGCTGAGCTCATACAGTTAATTATTAAACCATTAAAAGTGACAAATTTAATTTGCAAACTTAACCAGCGACCAGTAGTGCATCAGCTGAATTCATTGTTTGTCTGGTCTTCCTGGATTGCGTCAAATATTAGTGCATGAAATGCATACAAAGATATAAATTATTTACCTCGTGCACTAACCTCTGGGGGTTATACACTACCGGAAAGGTATCTAAGACAGCGCACAAGAGCTTGCAATCACCGGTTTGAGACTTCCCTGACGCGCCTGGACGAACAATATCGAACTCCTGTGCGGTTGTGTAATCAGTAATGCTGCTGGATTCCCGGGGACAGGGAAGTAACGGATGAGGCGATATTAAGTAGGCGGAGACGGCAAAGCGGAAGGGGGGGGTGCAAAGTCATGTCTTGTCTTTTCAATCGTTTGCTTTTAACAGTTCTCGAATAATCTTGCCAAAAGCAAATTTGTCAACCCAAAATACGTGAATATTTATTCATTTATCTAACTAACTTTGGGAACCGGTGAAAAACACTGTAAATTCGAATGAATCACTAGGGCTCTCTGGAGACTGGTTGCTCATGCATGGTAATCTGTAACCTTTCAGAATGGCGTGGTGAGAGAATCAACTTGAGAATTTTCAAGTGAACAGCTGGAGGCAAAACTTTATCTTTAATGAAAGCAGTTGGACGGAGTATTTAACACTATATGTACAGTGGATGGACTCTGTTAGTAGCTAAAAGATTCTAATAATTACAATAATTCTTGTTCATTTTCCTACATCATTAAGCTTTTATTAATAAGTTTTTTATTTCCTTATGAAATAGCTCATGTCCCACTTTGCCTTTTTTAAACATTCTTTAATTATCACTGACTAAATTTATAGTGTGCTTACCTGAGGTGCGTTCTTTCTACAAAACTGAGCTCCTTAAACAGCACTACTACGGAAAAAAAACTTGTCTTTGTTCGATGCAGCCAGTAGCTTCATATCAAGGCTTGCAAATAGGTTAAAAAACTGAATTAGCTATTACGAAGCTAGTAGGAGCTTTTTTTTTTTTTTTATCAAGAGACACCATTAAAGCTTAGTATCTAAATGCCTCATTCCAGCAATCCCTGGGCGTCGCCCCGTGTTCGCTCGGTCATTTATCGAATCTGAAAGTTGAACATAGAAAAGAAGAACTGATAAAAAGATTGCTGAAAGATCTGATATTCGTAATTTCTCCACCGGCACCCAATCCCAAGTTCCACATACATTTGAAGAGGGAACACTCGTTAATGGAAATTCTTTTCAATTTAGTAATCGGAAAAGAGGAAAGATCACAAGTCTGTAAATAATTAAAATACGTGGCAGGTATAAGGTGTGGGGGGGTTTTGGAGGGAACATATGGTTTTCAGGGGTACGGTCGTCACCAACAGAGTATAAAGAAGGCTATAGAAAATTGACTACCAATTAATTGCTAATAAGGACGGGGGTGGGGTGGGGTGGGTGGGTCTCTTGAGAATATAACAGAGACTTATGGAGGATCAGGTAACTTTTATCGTGACACAAACAAAATTCTCCAGCGCCTTCCCCCCGACGATAAATAATGACCGGTCCCTAGAGTAAAAATAGTCTGGAATAAGGTGGATCCGGATGAGATTAAAAAGACAGCCAGAGATAGCCAGAGAGAGGGAAAGAGGAAAAGGGAAAAGAATAAGAAAGGATAGAGAAAGGGGGAAAAAAGTGAAAAGAAAAGAGAGAAGGAAAGATAGGTTCAGTGAAAAATCCCGCCCATGGAAAACTTATTTCAACACTTCACTGCTAGATATATCTGTCTCGTGAGGACGCACATTCTACGACCTAAACGTATATGGCAACAAACGCTTCTGCACGGTACAAGACAGCGTAAAGCAAGAATGAGCTAATAAGAACTATTACCTGCAGGTGACAACTGAGTAGTTGTTGATACAATAGATGATCTCCCAATTTGGGTCATCATTCCTAATCGTGTCCTTCTAATGGATCTGAGCAAACTCTCTCTCACCTATTGTAACAAATAAAGAGACACTGCAATAAACGCTGCAACAAACAAGTATAGAAAATTCTATTTAAAGTTCTGAGTGCCGTGGTTTTATCGCATAAGCCATCAATTCAGAGGGTCGCCACAAGGAATACAATAGAATACGATATTCTGCATCAAACTTACACCAAAGCTGCACAAGCAAAGTTGGAAAATACCTGGTCATCCAAGAAGCCATGGAAGATACAAAACACCAAACCCTATAAGAATTAAAAGGAACACGAATGAGGCAAGTTTGATCAATATCAGCAACTGTGGAGCACATAGAACCGTGCGTACCTGGGTTGAGTTGAGTATGATGAACAAATACGCAAGGACTTCACTCCAGTGGATGAAAAACCCCAGCAGCCACGTGACACCCAACAGGGGCAGTAGAGCTGCGATGCTCCTCAATCCTTTTCTGTAAGATGAAAGGAAACCTTAGGGGAACGATCACTAGGGGAAGGGGGTCGGAGAATTTTTGGGGGGTATCACATGGTTTTCAGCGGGAACGGAAGTAAGATCAGTTGTCGCCAATAGAGTGTAAAGGGGGGGGGGAAATATTGACTGCCAAACCCTCAAAGAATCAGGGAACCACTGCTGAAGTTTATCCCAGTTTCTCTGGAAACGGAATGTAGGAGAGCATTGCTTTTTCAACTGGACAGTCCATTGCAGGTTAGCCCCCCCTGCAATTTGTCAACTTTTTCTGAAGGTCATGAAAGGAGAGAGGCTCCGCAAGACTTCAGTGTCTGTCCCAGGAGCAAAAAAAAAATTACACGGTCAGGTTTCGAAACCAGACCTCCAGATCCACAGTCCAGCACATTTACCAATCAGGCGTTATAGGAACACACTTGTTCATTTGTTAATCCCAAATACTTCTAAACACCATTTCCTACTCTATGCGCACTTGGGAAAAAACATATTTGCCACTTTCTATAGGTCCTTCGCGAATACCTTGGTTAAATGCATCTGGTTAAAAGGCATTGCTAATTAAAAAAATTAAATATACAATACAAATCTGACTTTTTTACTCGATCGTTAGCAAATTGAAAAAAAAAGGAAACAGGAACGAGAAAACAAAAGAAGAAACTTACCTGGTCTTCTCTACATTATCAGTCTGATATTTTTTCGATATCTTGGTGAAGATCACTCTCAGCAGAATTACAAAAATCACAACATTGACCTGGAAATGAAAAATTGAAAAATGTTTGACTTTGAAAAAAAATTCTGATTGGTCGTTTGAAGAACAGAAAAAGCTCGATGTTAGAATACTTTTGGATTGAAAGTCTTAAAAACAAAACCCAGCCACTTAAGTCGAAACGGCGCAGCAGAACATAGGAAAGTATCAAAAGAGCTAAACGAGAACTGAAAAGAAACAGACATAAAGGTCTTCATGGTCATTATTTATCGCCCGGGGTGGGGTAAGGAAGGGGGGGGGGGAGGTCCGGAGGATTTTGTTTGTGTTATGATAAATTTACCTGACCCCCTGGCTCTGTAATATTCTCATGATTCCTCTTCTGTTAGCGACGACTTAGTCCTTTCCGTTACCCCCGAAAGTTATGAGATCTCCTAAAATTCTCCACCCCTGTCCCACCCGGTGATAAATAATCAATTGTCGAAGAAAAAAGCTGAACTTTTTAAAAGACATTCAAGCAATGACTTCAAAGTTGATTTGGGAAAGAAATTTGAGCTTACCACGAGAATTGCCAAGATTGGTCCTTTATACAGCCATTCACCGTCATTAAGCCAGCACCTTGAAAAGATTACAATATTCCAATATGACTAAGTAAGGAAAAAGGAAAGCAGATCAATGCATTTAACTTATTTACTAAGAACGTTCCGTTTTGTTGCAAAAAAAGGAAAAAACAGTAATAGAAAAATTGATATAGAAAAGTTTGTGAACCAAACCTTTACGATCCGAAAAAATTAAAGAAACAGACATTCAAAACATTATAAATCAAGCACATGGGCCTCTTAAAAGAAAAGGCGTAGCAGTTAAAAGAAAGAGTTAATGGTCCTAATCGAGGAAGTTGTAGAGTTATACCAACCTGTCACGTATAATCTCCGCTGAAAGTGTCAGTGATCTACACATGACGTCCTTGTAGTATGTCTTGCTCATATCATATGTCACAGGTCTGATGGCTGCTATTAGACCCACAATAACAACTGGTAGACCTGTGGTCAAAGGAGGTTAGTATACTGTGAAATCCCAGATTAAAGTACCCCCGGTTATGGGTTAATCTGATTTTAAACAAAAGATTCCTTCCGGTTATGATCCACATGTCAAACGGCAGTAATGTTGCAGAACTACTATATGTGGACACACCGCACTTAATGTCGCGTCAAACACCATAAAAAGAGAAAAACCATGATAACACAACACACTACATTATATAAGGTAAGACTGAGGTATAGCATCTAAGTTATATTCCTCTTAGTAGCCTCGTTCTCACGGTCTTTACTGCAAGTTATGAACCGAGTTCTTTCCACTCGGACTTTTGGCCCAAGCGCTAAAAAAACGGGCTATAGATTGGAGCGAAAACAAAATGAAACAGCTTCTATCACTTACGGTAAAGACCGAGAAAACGAGGTTAGTAAGATAGTTACTAAAACTCTGGGATTAAAAAGAGGGGGAAGATTTAAACTCAAACAACATTTTGAGTTTAGAGGGCGGTACAATGATTGATGGACCGCTAGGTTCCGTTGGGCTGAACAATCATAGTGCATGTACTGAATGAGAGAGATGATAAAAGCTGTAAACAGAGCCTTACCCCACCCGATGACAATGTATGTGATGTAGAGCTTGTGGACTGAAAAAACTTTCACCAGCTTGATGTAAAGATGAATTCCTTCAACCAACATCCACGTGAAAATAGCGGTGTGTGTTATATGTTGGAGGACAGCCATAGCTGAACATAATTTCTACAATATCATAAAGAAAAAAAAAAGAAAGGAATGTATAGGTACTTAAAATCAAACAGCCATGTTACTCTGGTTTTTCAAGCTGAAAAAAATTCAAATAAATCAAGGAGTATGGGCTCCTGCAAGATTTGCTACAAGCTATTAAGGAAACAGTGTGTTCTTATTGTCTGAGCGAGAAGGCCGGACGGGAAATATTTGGCTCATGGTGACAACTTACGGACTTCGCTGCGCTTGGTCCACACGGCATGACCCGCAGAGCCAAATATTTTCCCGTCTGACCTGACCTTGCCAGTCGATACACGTTTAAGCGTAAGACTGCCGTCTTTCTCGTTCTTCCTTTCTTCTTACATATTTTCATCCTCACATCTCGCGGGGACATACGCTGGGCTGTGCGACTTTTCCCGACCCTGCTCGTGCCATTACGTACATTTCTTATACCGGGATTTTTTTTAAGTGTTATCAGAACTAATAAGAATCAGGATCAGTTAAACTCACCGGTGTCTGCTTCCTGTTTGTAAAAATATACGAGTCCAAGATCATCAGTTTGTAAACCAGGCATATGGATATTAAAAGGTTTTTATGAACAAATATTCTCTCGGAGTTTCTTATCCTGTGTTAGAAAAGAGGTCACTCCGTTAGCTTTATAGTCGGTACTTCATCTTCAATTCATGTTTGTGTTAGTAATTCAGTTGCAGAGTAAAGTTCAGCTGGTTATATATATACATAAAAACTACTGGTATATCAGTCGGAAGTCAGTCCACGTTTGTACGTACGGCAGTAAGCGACCAAGTTAGTCCTTCAGTCGGTAAGTTAGTCAGTCAGCCATTCCGCCAGTCAGACGGCAGTCAGTCCATCAGTCAGTCAGTCAGTTGGTCAGTCAGTCAGTCGGTCGGTCGGTCGGTCGGTCCGACAGTTGGTCAATCAGTCAGACGGCCAGCCAGCCGGTCAGTCAATTAGTTAGTCAGATAGTTGATGGCTGAGTCATTCAGCCCGTCAATCGTCAGTCCGGACAGTCAGTCCGCCAGTAAGGCAGTGCACCAGTAAGTCGTTAGTCAGGCAGTCCGACTACTGTGTTATGCATCGATCAATTCGAAGCTTCAATATCCCCTCCGGGCATTTGAACTTTTGAAGATTAGCGTCTTCAAATCCCCCTCCCCCCCCCCGAGCCAAACTTGTGCTCGAAAAAGCTCACGAAAGCAGGCTCTTTACCTTGAAAATCCTCCTTTGAAAGACGTGTATTACGTTAATAAGACTTGGCACTTGCCGTTCAAATGCCCCACCCCATCCCAAGCAAGGTTCAAATTCCCCTCCCCCGGCCACGGACGACATTAAAAAGCCAGTAAGGTGCCAGGGGGATGCTGAAACTTCGAATTGATGGGCATATTAGTCACACTTCTGAGTATCAAATTGACTGAGCACCTTAGGCAGGAAAGCAGTATTAAGCAAATTATAACAACCACTGTAGAAATGCTGCTGAGAACGAGATCCAGGTGAGTTTTAGCCACAGCTTTCCTCTCTTTTTCCCCATCTCTAACTTCCCTGGCTGTGATTTTTAACGTTCCATTTACCTGAAAAAGAAATTTGACTGATTTAACCAAGGAAAGTTTCTGTAACATTGACAACTGGCCACTAATTTGCTGCAGAAAAGAATGAAAGTCGTATACTACCCCTCCCCCCTCAGCACCAACCATCTGACTCTTTACTATTTATAATTCAAGTTATTTGACTTACATCATATTCAATCCAAGTACAGTTGAAACGTCGAAGAGGAACAAGGACGCGACTGAAATTCATCTAGTGAGAGAAAAAACAGGAGGTGTTCTTTGAATCAAAGCTTTCCACCTTAAATTTCGCTTTATAAGATGGATATGCTCTCGTAAAAAAGGTCATTTTAAAGAAAATTAGAGTGGGTTTTATAAGCTTTAGAGTTGAGTATGAAACTGATCAAATGATATCCCATGGTTCCTATCAATACATATATTATTATTATTAAAAATAGGGGCATGTTGAAGTGAAAACTTTCTTTGTGGTCGATACCCCTGGGATTGAGAAAATAAACAAAAAGATCCCAACTGAAATGTGACCTTGAGGTCATTTCCCTCAAAAGGATTTTTTCAGACACTATCAGTTTCCCTTGCACGTTAGAATTCGCGGGGGCCTCTTTTCTTTGGTGTATTACTTGCCTCGCCAGTGATGTTTCTCGGAGGAAGTGAAAGGGAGCTGACAGTATCACTTCCTGAGGACAGCTGGTTTGGATCAATCCTCAGATTAAAAACCGGTCGCATCCAAAAGATAGTTACACCAGGAGGACCTGGGCCCATGTTGCTTTCTCCAATGGATAGCGGACTATAGGATATAGTTACACTATAGGATATACAGAAGTATGCGAGAACAGATGCCATGAAAACATGGAATGAATAAGGAATGAGTCCATTCTTTATAATTCATCGCCAGAAATCAAGGACATTTCGAGCCCGCTAACAATTATCAGCGATATATCGTATTACACTCCGGAACAATAGAATATCAAGAGAATTCAATATGGCGGCGATCACGGCTCTATCTGCAAAGAAAAGTGTTTCGTACCATGACTTATACAATTTGAGCACCGCAGATCTTCTATTTGATGAAAAGAAAAAGAAAGGAAGACCTGCAAGTAAATCTTTGGGATTTTAATTGCCGTACACCTGCCAGGATCATTGCTATACGTATTTTCAGTCTAGTTTAAACTAGAATTTATTTGCTTTACTTACTATTTCAACGATCTTAGAGTGAAACAAAACCGAAAGGTATGCGTCAGATTTGAGGCCCCGCAAATAAATTCCTTGATATCTTGTATTAATGACCAGCGCTGCGAGTACGTCTGCGAAAACAACAAAGACAGTAACAATTTAGTGACTTAAACAAGTTCGCCATCCATAGAAACTCACGTTCATGGCAAAGTTTCCGTACAATTTTTTGCATAGATAGAAATTTTTCCACTCCAGTTTGAAGAAGCAGGGATGGTGCAGTGATGAGAGCGCTCCCCGCCCACCCATATATGGGTTCGATTCTGGCTTCACATGTGGGTTGAGTTAATCAAGGTCGGTTCTCGTCCTTGCTCCGAGGGTTTTCCTCCAGTTTTCCTGGCTTCAAAAAAACAACATTTCAAAACAGTAGAGAAGAGCCATCCAGTGGAATGTCCTTGCTAAATTCCTATTTCCTTATTCCCATTTCATTATTCATTCCCACTCCCATTTGTCCTGCATTTATTCTCATAATCCGGAACAAATGAAATTGATCTGATCATCTTCATTATCATTATCACATTTGTCACCATGTGAATTTTCGTCTTTGGCGATTAATTCGAATTGGTTGAAGCCATCTAGCTTTGGTGCTCGTCTACGTCGGTAAAAAACCCTTTAAAAAAACGGTGATGTAGCGTAGCACCTTTAAAGGTGTGTGCCACACTTACCTCATCATCCTAACCGAGTTCGAGGTCGGTAGTATAAGTTACAGACAGAGTTTTTTTTCCGCTCCTGTTTATTAATCCGAGAAGAAAAACGGGGTTTCGTAGCTTGCAGTGCGGACCGAGAAAACGAGGTTAGCCAAGATTTCTATATTATCTCTGAATTCAAGTAGAGGTGCAAGATTTCAATTTAAACAAACTTTTGAATTAAAAGGGTTGTACAGTGAAACACGACCCGTTAAATCACCCAATCATAGCGCATGCACTGACTTATAGATATGATAAAAGTTGGTTAATTTTGTTACAATAATTATGAACAAGGCCTTTGGATGACAGAAGTCTTATCAAATGTTGTTTATTATGTTACTTGTTTATTTGCATGCATGTTTTAGCTTTGCGTTTTCTTATTCTACAGTATGTTTCATGCATGCTTACCACTTCTTTAGGACAAAAGGAGTCTGAGTGAGGCTTGAAAACGTTTTCGGTTTGAGTTGTTTGGAATATGGCCTTAAGGGATAGAAAATATATATATGAAAGGCTCATAATTCGCAATCCTATAAGAGGTCAATTAGAAAATGAACCCCTGGACAATCACTGAAAAAGGCTACCCTCTGGATCTGCATTTTGAAATCCAGTAAGGGAACGGTCATTATTTATCGTCGGGGTGGGACAGGATTTTATGTCACAATATGATTCCCAGGCTCTGTAGTATTGCTAATGACCCCACCCCCTCTCACACTGGCAGTCAATCTTTTATGGTCCTCCCTAACATACTCTGTTAGCGACGACTAATTTCTCACCCTCCCCGTTCCCCCTGAAAAGAATTACATTCCCAAATTCTTCCGTCCCCTCGCCCCAAGGTGATTAAACGCGACTGGTCCATTAGAGGTTTATTTAATTCTTTGATAACTTGTGTAGATAAATCAAGCCTCTAAGGAAGACCTTCATTTGATTTAATAAAAAAAAAATCCTGTGTTCTTCGTTAAAATAGTAGGAAATTTTGAAACGAACAAGTCACTGTTGAAACGTATGTTGTTAAGGTAATTCGCGCAAAATACTGCAGAGACGTTTTGTCAAACTGACAAAGAATGCATAATCTGTCATTTAGTAATAAATAATCCGTAATAATCGGACCGAAACCATTCTCGTGGGCGAGTCCAATTCGGTCTGTAGTCGTACGAGTGATTAACAAAATCGGACGAGGCGGGAGTCCGATTTGTCAATCACGAGTATGATTGCAAACAGAATTGGACGACACAAAGTCCAGTTACCAATTAATTAATCATAACCATTACAATTTCGGAAAAAAAAATTCATTTAGGACAAACATTTCCAGTAGGGACGATGTCTAAAGGAAAAAAATTGGAAATTACCCAGTTTTCTTTTCAGGGTAAGTGGTTGTTACTATAGTTATTGCGATCAATTCTGTGATTGGTGGATTTAGCTGAGTGGACTTAGCATGATTGGCTGCTTCAAATGTCCGATTACAGCCAACTGTCCGATTACAACTGTACAGAGCGATTAGTGAAATTTAAAACAGCTGATGCACCAATCACATTTGAGCAAATTGTAATGGTAATGATTAAGGCTGAAACTCGTACCTGTGAGAAATTGAGCGTCACCATATCGTTGGAATGGTTGACTGGATTTAGTAGGAGAGCTCCACTTTTAAACCAAAGACTCAGATAATTAAAGAATAGTTCTTTGTTTGTAAAGTTAGTGGCTTTGTTCACAAATGCTCTTGTTAGTTCCAAAATGTTTGTTAGATTCATTATGGATAGCTGAAAGTGAATGGAAAGAAGCCTTATATTAGTTCCATTAAAATCAGTTGTTTACCCGATGAACTTTAAGACAAACATGATTTTTATTAATTGCTATTCCAATTGAGTCATGTATCGCGTTTCAAACAGCCGCGGATTAGAATACAACCTATTAACCTATATAAGGATTAGAATACATCGGAATCAAGCTACTACATACTTCATGCCTGAATTCTTGACGAAGAGATTTTTTTCCGCAAAAACAGCTTTCTTTGAAACTCCACGCTGTCATATGACCATTTCGTGAAGAACAACGGTTCGTGAAATTTCCTGTGGTCCAATAAAAATAAACAAATGAAAAGCACGTTGCTGAGGCACAAACAATATTAATCATATCTTAACACTCTAATGGTGGTGATTCAAAGTCTTATTAAATGACAAGTACCACCAACAGCAAATGCTGTAAGTCTGCACGAATGCATGAGGCTTACAGCAAGCTCCCTAGATCTAATTCAATTTTGTATCGGGTTTACAAAATGAAAGGATATAGTAGAAAAGTTACCACAAGCACTGAACACAGCCTGAACCTGGTGAGGAAAGACATTTACTGTCACTGGCCGAGGCGCATGACTGAGATTTCGATAAATGAAATGATAGTCAAAGTAAATTCACTTCCTTTTTACGATAAATTCGTTGAAGCTTCGGTCAATGTTACTGACTTTTCAGGACGTGCTCTCCTCACCCAAGTGATCATACTCCTTTATCGGAGAAAAAAAATGCCATGTGAAGTGCACCAAAGCAGGAAACTGTTTTCTACGTACAACTGGGCACTACTTTTGACTTCTAGGAGTTATATTGTTTCCTTATAACCCTTGTAATCCCAGAAGTGATTAAGATGTAACTTAAGATGTAACTTCTAACTGTAATATGCGTACACTACCCAGAGAACAGCTAATGAAAATACTCAAACTTAACAGATGGTAAATGTTGCCTTCATCTCACACCAAATTCTTATAGCTTATTCACAAGGTAACGCGTGGAAACTTAAGGGGAGAATTGACAATCAGATCTTGGGAATAAAAGTTGTTGAATGAAAGTGATCCTCGCAGTAATGTGAACTACTTAGGCAGTAGTGAAAATAAGGCCTGAAAAAAATTCACGCCTGTACGGGATTTGAACCCATGACCTCTGCGATACCGGTGCAGCGCTCTACCAACTGAGCTAACAAGCCAACTGGGAGCTGGTCATGATGTTGGTTCTAAATAAACCCGTGAAGTGAATAAAAGTTGTGTTGAGTATCTATCACAAAATAACAATTTTTCGACGAAGAGTATCAAAAAATTTTTCCTACCTCCTAATTCTGGATCCACCTCTGAACAGTTCCTTGCAACAATCTCACTCAGCGCAGTTCTTTCCCAGTACATATTGAACTTCGTGCCAAATGGACAGAAATCTGAAATAATTGTTTCGAAGTTCCTTTTACAACAGCTTTCACACAAAATATTCTTGGAAAGGCATGAGTGCCTTTTTTCCCTTCTATAATCAACATCTTCAAATTGCAGAATAGGATGTTATTCAGCACCATTATACGAGGAAGATCAAACACCAGTCATTATTTTTCGCCTGGAAAGGAGGGTCGAAGGATTTCGGGGGGGGGAGGGGGAGGGGGAGGGTTCCAGGTGGGGGTCATGAGAATGCTAGGGACTTATGGGGTATCAATTAAACTTTATCGTAACACAACAAAAATTATCCAACACCACCATCTCCCCAACTAGGGTGATCAATGATGACCAGTCCCTAAAAATAAAGGTTTGCGCTCGACATTAGTTGAAAGTTTACTGCGATCAAAGGCTAGTTTGGCGATCTTCCGCGCTCTTCCCTTTATATGACCTAACAGTCTGTTTCTTGTTACTGACATCACATACCTTTTTTTGGTTTTTTTTTTACTTGTTCTCTATGCTTCAAGACCATGGTCCGTTTTAATTTTTGCTCAGATTAGTTCCTTTCCTTTTTCATGGGGTATAGGAAGTATAACCTGATTTGCGCATATGGCTTTTAGCAAACAACTTGGAAGAGCTTTTCAATTTCCTTTTTAGCAATATATGGTCATTCCTTTCCATCCTCAACCTTCGTCGTTTCTTTTCGCTTCTTTGTTCATTTTTATCTCTTTCTGTCTCGCAAAAGTAGTACTTCTTAGTCTTTATCATTTTGAAGAAGGCTTTTTTGCGCGTTACGGCTCAAATTGCGGTGGGAGGGGGGAGGGGGGTATGAAGATTTTGTAACGTCACGTTAAAACTTACCTGATCCCCCAGAAGGCTCTTTAATATTCTTATGATCCCCTCCCATCAGCAGTTCATTGGCAGTCAATTTTACTACAATCCCCATTTTTATTTGCAATATTCTATTAGCGGCAACTGATCTCTCCTTCCGTTCCCTCAGAAAACTACGCGATCCTACATTATCCTCCGAACCCCTTTCCCCAGACGAAAATGATGACTAGTTCCCAGGTCTCAGTCATTGCTATTTATACTTACACTGAACGCAATCTCTCTCGTCAGACTCGTCGCTGCAGTCTGATTTCTGATCACATCTGTCGTTAAGTGATCTTATCTCATCTCCGCTCTTACAGAGGTACAGTCTTTCATCAGATATGAGTGATAAGTTTCGTATTCCTGAAAAATGTAGAAACACAAACAGCCTCAAGAATTTCGGAACAGTCTTTTGTCTGAGGCATAGCGGAATAATTATTTTTTGACGTCCGCAGATCTCAGCGGGGACGTAAACAAAAGTAAATTGAAGGAGCATGTTTTACTGGGCAAGAAATGTATGTCCTTAAAGTCCCTATGACACGATGGGTGTCTCGATAGTTAGTGGCTCATGGAACAAACCTATAAAAGCCCCTGTACATCGCACGCGACCAGCTTCCAAGTAGCATCCAGACCTCACTCTCTGCATCTCTGAGCTGCAAAAGAAGTCAACTCCATTCTCTTTCCAGCGGTGGCCTTCCGGATGGGTTTGGTTCCTCCAAATGCAAACTAACATAAAGCAGGAAAATCATTTACACGGGAAGGGATAACTTAAATTTAGTGTGGTCATTTTCTTATGAGTTATGGTGGTAAACAAGCTTTTAAGTACAAAATACATGATAATTCGGAGAGAAAATTAGCTAGAATAATTGCAGCTCTTGTGATTACAGGATGAGAGCTCTTTGAAAAATCCTCGTTCCCCATTTTTACGCAGGTATTTGGCTTTGCCGTCAGAATCACTTGCCTTTACAGATTCCTCTATTTGCTTTCAAAAACGCCGCTACGTTACAATCCGGTTGACTGCAGCGCTCTGTGTTTTCTTCATTGGATGTAATGACCGACAGCGTTTTAGAACACGAGATAACGCCATTGTCACAGTAGCAGTCGATGCAGTCACCAATAGACCAGGTGCTTCCATTGATATATGTATTTGCATCCTCGTCCTGACACAAGGCATCTGAGAAACAAATCGTCAGCAGATAGGGACTGAAAAAATCTGCTTTGACAGGAAATAAGTGAATTTAGAGAAGGAACCTTCCCCTCCATCTCTCTTCATGTGGTGTTTAATCTTACAGTACTTCCCCCAAGGCTATTTTTTGGCACACTTCCCTTGGAGATCCAGGCGGATCTAAAAATAGTGAATTCAATGTTGTTAATTCTGCTCACGTGCACATCCCATGATCCCACACGGCTTCTATGCGTTCTTCAGTGATACGTCAAGCAACACACTAAGTAATGTACATTGGTCTCGGAAGACCAGATACCTAAGTCTAAATATTAATATAACTTAAAAGTGATAACTAGTCTCATTAACTTATTCTCTCTTAACTGTCGCTGACGTCAATACATTGGTTTTATTGCAAAGTTGCACAAACTTTTTCGTTTAATAATTAGGACATTTGCTCCAAGAGAGCTCACAAACTTTATGTTACACGTCCATTCTCGATAAGGGAATGTGACTAGGTTATAAAAGAGAAGGGGTCCGGTTGTCTCGATAAAATTCGATTCGATAGAGATCGATTCAATACATCGACAAAGTCGATTCAAAACACGTAGAAATTAAGTCGTTTCGATACAGCCTAAGTCAGTTCGATACAAACTAGTGAAAGATAAATTTGGACGTCACTACGGCAGTTGTTCGGCGATATACCTTGCCTTCTTTAATCTGCATTCAACGATCCGTCAATGACCTTTGTCTCGGTATTTTTATTGATCTCAAACGTCATAAAGACCAACCTCAAATTATGTGTAAAATAACTTTTATTTAACTACCGCTTGCTAGGGTAGTCGAGCAACAAAGAAAGTAGTAATAACCTAAAATAAAGAACATCTGCTGAGAATGGAGAAGATTAAAACAGCTTGAAAATGAGAACTAGATTTTTTTAAGATGGACCAGCCATATCGAAGCCTCTTAGAAGTCGCTCTAATCAATCAAACTTACCCGTTTTACAGGCGCCGTTTCCCGGCAGGCAACTCGGGTCGATAATGTCACACTGATCATCACTGGCTATCAACTGAAGTCCTCCTGGACACATCTTCATACCCCAGCGCACCTGACTTGCAAGTTGTGGAAGTGCTATGAATTACAAAACGCGCCTTCAGTGTGAAATTGAGAGCAATTTTTCAATTAAATGCTGAATGCAAATTCTTAATTGCTATGGTTTTGCTTAAATACACTAAACACTTTGTGATAGGTCTGGAAAACTCGCACACCGCATGTACAAGTCAAATACAAAACAGTCAATCACTCGTATCAATCACACGACGCTTATAGCATCTTGTCAATTATTACTTTGCATTCTTATTGGCTAATGCTGATGTTCACCTGGATTCCAATTGGCTGTTGTCATAATTTTCGTTTTCGTTTTCCGAAAACTGGCAGATAATCGTTCCAAAAAGATCATAAAAGTGTTGTTAATTCATTTGGATTAAAGAAGGGAGAGCGGGGAGTGGGAATAGTGTAGAGGTGAGAGCGCTCGCCTCCCACCACCGTGGCTCGGGTTCGATTCCCGTCTTTGCTCCAAGGGTTTTCTCCCTCGACTAAAACTGACATTCCTGATTCCAATTCGACCTGGAAACAGTGGAGAGGACAAGCCACCTTGTGGAATGTTCTATTATTATTATTATTATTATTATTATTGTTGTTATTGTTATGGTCCATTAAGTTCGCTTAGGTTTAAAAATGAGGTGATTACAAAGCAAATGCCTTGTAAATAACTCCTTATTATCATTAATGACCTTCTCAATATGAAAAGTGCTTAACATCGTTTTCTTTCCAAACGGAACCGTTGTTCTCATTCGCAATTGGCCATTCATATCAGTTCAACGTCTACGATATTTTACCTGGGCATTTCTCAGCACAACAGACTGCTCCATTGTAGATATAACAGGTTGATAAAGACATTTGTGGGCACCCTGTGGTCTGCTTGTGTCCTACAAAGAGGAATTGACACCCTTGGTAGTCCCAGTTGTCTCCTCGTGACAAAATGTGGCCACCTTCGACGGTTTCAATTGCTGAGTAAAGAAATATTTATTATACGGATATGAAAAAATGACAATGTCAGAGGTAACGGGGTTGATCTAAATTATAAAGAGTGGTAGAATACGGTAAGTTTAATTGCTCTGTGTTGTTAATTTTAAGAGAATAGAATTGAGAATGGCCGGTTTTAAACAGTTTCCTCGAGTAAAAATAAAGTAATGAAAAAAAATCAAGCAAAACAAAGCAATGTCAGTTGTTTGAAAATATGATCGGAGACTGTTTATTTTGACCAATGTCTCCTTGGTCAGGAATATATGCTAATCGTTAAATATTCTTATACTAAAATTTTTAATTTCGATTTGAATTTCCTGGCTGATACCACACGTTTTGAAATAAATATATGTTTGGATCAGTCCTCATTAATTTTTATCGCGGAGTACTTCCGGGCCTTAGAGGGGAATCCTTTAAATTTTATTGTTACCCAACCAAAACCTCTCACCCTTCTCTCTGGCTGATGAATAATGACTAGTTCCTAAGGTTTCCAAATAGTTGTGGATGGTTTTTGCGTTGATTTCAATTTCCGCCCGGGTCAACATTTAGTAGCCTTTTTTGATAAGTATAGATCTTTTAAGCGAATCCTGATGGTGTATGCTAATTTGGTTAAAGTGATCTCTAAGGAAGCTCGGCTTAAATTAAGTTTAACTCTTTAACCTTACGTGTACCTTCACAAGATTCTCTCCTGGCTTTAATAAACTTTGCAGCGTTACACCCTGGTTGTTCACAGGACTCAGTAAAAGGTACGTATGCAAAATGTTTACCAGGGAAGTTGACTTTAAGTGTCCTCTTGCATTTCAGACGACCCTCTATACACTCGCAGCTGAGACAGTCGGACACCTGGAGTGATGTTAACAATGAATTCTTCAAATGTTATTCGAGCTGACATTCCAAAAAAAATAAACGCTAAGCTTTCCAAATGATAAATCAGTGTAATGCTTTAGTTATTCTAAGGGTGGAATTTTTACAAGGTTTGCCATAAGTATAAAAATTTACCTTCCAAACATCTTTTAGAATTAGAATCTGCCCTTTCTCATCGCGACAAATAACTGAAACATCAACATGGAACAGAATCATCAGTATTTATTTTTAATTAAGTTTGTCTCCGATGGTTTTTATTCCTCTCTTTTTCGTTTGAGCGATGGGGAAGGAGGGAAAGAGGAAAGGGGGAAATGGGGAGGTAGGGAGGAGTGATATAGGGTGTGGTTAGATTAGTGAAAACTCAGTTACTTGAAAAAGCCGAATTAATTAACTCACCATTCTGGCACTGCGCCTCATCAGAAGCATCCGGACACTCGACGACTCCATTACACACGTGTTCTTTCCTTACGAAGTCCCCACTGGAACAACCAAATACCTCATTTAAAGCCTTTAGCTGAAAGAAAACTGGAAAGAGAAGCTTTTAACATGGAAAATTGCACTGTGTAAATGTTATTCGTTGGTTGATCAAAACGAGTCGCTCTCTCTACTGGTAGGGGAAGTAAATGTGAAAAAACACTTGGCTCAACTTGGCCGGAAAGTAGTCATTTTCGATATTTAAATCGATAACGGATGATTTCTCACCATTACATGTTCGCCTCTTACCATCTCTTCGATTTCGCTCCACATCCTTCAACTGATTAAGGTGGGCGCGATTTTGTTTTATGTTACGAGGGGGGTTGCAATAAAGCAAAATCAATATAAACCTGTGATTCAGATCGAGAGTAACTTCATGATAAATAACAAACAATCATATTTCATCATTGCAGTGATTAAACGACGACACCTCATTTATTATTGACACCCACCCTGGCAAGCAGCGACTGTCCCATCCCCTGTTGGTAAAATATCGTCACTTGGCTGATGACACGGCATACATCTTCCAACTGTCTCAACTTGGAATAACCCATACTTGATAGTCACGTGATACTTTTCACAACTGATCAAACCATCCACGCATGAGCAATTGAAACAGACTCCGGAAAACCAGTGGGTACCATGTTCCCGCACCATGCCTTTCTCATCGGTGCAGGCTGGCCGAGAGAGCTTGGTACAGGTTATCTTTCCATTGCTACAGGTACACTTAGTCATGTTGTTGCTAAGCCACTCATGTCCATCCACAAAAGCGTTTCCATGGGAATCCCAGCATCCACTTTCAGTTTTTTGGCACTCGACTTTTAGATTGGGTGTACATGTACATTTGAACAAAGGATTTGGGTTCCAACTCTGCCATACGTCATAACTGTTTCCTTCTTTGTCTCTGCAACCTAATAGAAATTCAGAAAAATGGGCGACCAAGTAGATTACCACGCATAAAATTCTCGATGTAGGCAGTCTCGGGTCTCGGGTCGGCCTTTCTTTGCGCACTACCCACGGTTATGCCATTTGCAGCTACTAATGGCTTCAAAACTAAAACTACCTCATTTTATTGGGATCAAAGTCTTCTAACAACGATGGAATGGAAGTATTCAGCCATGTGGAATCTGGTTTCCGCAGTTTTATCTATTCGGTTGTTTCTTTTACAGGAAAAATCCATGATTTATCATCTGGGAGGACGAGATAAGGAGGATTTGGATTTGGGGGGCGGGAACACATGGCTTTTAGGAGGAGTTAAAGGGAAATCAGTCAACCCCTATATATTATAAAGAGGGAGGTACCAAAGAAAATTGATTGCCAATCAACTTCCCATGAAAGGGGGACCATAACAATATTATAGAGCCTTAGGGGGATCACAACCAAATTCATCGTACTTCTTCCCCCCACCCCCCGGCCGATAAATAATGATCAGTTCATAACTGGTTTATGTGTCACTTACCAGCTTCTCCGGCTTCTCCACCTCCACAGTATCGCAAGCTGCAGGAGTCTACACTTGTAGGAAAGGGTCCAAATTTGTACACCATAAAACCACTGCAGTTTTTCACTAACACCAAACTATACCAGTGACAACAATTGGTATCCTTTGTAAAACAAACCATACGCTGCACCACACCCTCCTCCACAGTTGGATGTTTGCCATTCAACCAACCAGGTGACAGAGTACCACAATGCATTCTGGGCACGCAATGTGTCGGCATAACAGTCCCTGCGCGGCCAGTCAGCCTGTACCAGCCACTAGGTAGGTAGGCGTCACACTTCAAAGTGTTGTAACTGAAATAGTCCGCGGCTCTATCACGTGCGCTGAGTGTGTTGTAGTCGGTGCATTCATCGCCTAATAACAATGAAACAAACAAACAAACAAACAAACAGTTATCAAAACAAACAATAACAATGGACGATATGAAATTCTTTTGTTCATTTGAAACGTAGAGTCGATCATTCTTTTAATTACAATGACCAAGCTTCAAAAGTTTCGGCACAATTTTTGCTAACACGTTTCTGTTTAAAGACTGAACCTCGTGTTGCTTGGTTTAACGAAGTAAACAATCATCGTAAATGAGATTAAATCTGAAATAACTTTATAAAGGTAAGGCGGATAACTCTTTAAAAGGGTAACTCTTTTTCATATCGCATGTTCATCTTGACATCCATGAAAGCATTAAAGTTTGTAACGATGGCGTAGAATTTGGGAACGCTTCTAATCTGTCTTACAAAATTTTGTTGAAGAGGAGGCGTGGAAAAAGCTGCAGTTATCAAATAGAATACTAGTGTCTGTGTTCAAGTTGAACTTTCACTCAGAGTTAAACAATCAATCAATTCATTATCATTTTTAAAGACTTTAAACTGCCTTTCTTATATTACCTAACTTATTCTTGATTGCTACTTGCTTAGGCGGCAATGATCCTGAAATAAAAAAAAGGCTCTCTGAGAAAATTTGTCCAGATTTTATGAATTGAAGTCAGTATCAGCAAACCTTTAGGTTAAAAGGTGGGATATCAAGTTAACTAACACCCATGCCTCCCCTGAGGGACGCAAAATGGATGAAACCTCCTCCTCTCGATAAAGCATTCATTTTACATCTCAAACAACTGCCAATAACTTTTATTTGAATAAAAAGGCAAAAACAAAGTGTCTTTAATATCGTGGTTATGTTTTGAAAGTGGATGGCAGACGATGGAGGAGGCATTTACATTGTGATCTCTGAGGGTTTTCGTCTACAAATGCGATCGATGAAAGGAGTTCAGAGAATATTACACTACCTTCAATACCAGCTCCACACACTCGAAAAGTAAAGCTTAAACTTGCATTCACGTCCAGTTTGTAAACAAAGAAGCCGCTGCAGTTCCTCACAAGTACACTCACAGACGTCATGCAACAAACTTGCGACTTGGAGAGACATACTGATCGTACTACTAAACCTTCGTCTACACTTGGATGGTTACCCGCCAGCCATCCAGGAACGAGCGTACCGCAGTGATCAGCGGGAACGCAGGTTGTAGCCATGCGCGTACCGGCTGAGCCATTGTATGTAAACCAGCCCGTTAGTAAGGTATCGCTGGCGTGAACGTAGTTGGTAAAAAACCTAGATCTGCTTGCCTCGTTTAAAACTGTGTGGTTTGAGCACTCGATTGCTATAGAACAGGACAGAGAAAAAAACAACTTAACATCGATCTTTTTGGTTCTCGTCTCATGAAAGCTTGGATGTTAGTGACCAAACCGAGGAATAGTAAAGGGAAAAAAAGGCATTTCTGATTCCCCTACGACGAAACGCACCCCTTTCCATGTTTTTTTAACTAAGCTTAAGGATACTCTATGGCAAGCTAGACTAGTTTAGATTCATGTCCGACAAATGTCTTCTATACTGCTAGTATGTAGGATCAAAAACGATCAAGCGTCTTAGTTCTCTATTACCAATTTAAAATAATTTCTTTTTCCTTAAAAATTTCGAAACCATATCTAACCGTTTCTCTAAAACCATAGTTTTTATTTCCAAGGAAAATGAATTTTTATTTGACTGGCGCAGCACCTTCAAGCAAATTACGGCATTTTCTCTACTGAGAAGAAATACCAGCCTGCTTTCGTTAATAATGTTCAAGCACTACTATAATATTCCCCGGTTCCAGCGATTTTGGCAAGCTTAAGTAGTTTAGATCGTGTGACGTGTCCTGTGAAAAGCAGCTGGCTTCTACCTCTGTCGAAATGTTGAGTCAACTTTAAGGTACAATAAAAAGAATGGAAACAACGTTACCAGGATGAGGACTGGAAATCCCTTCACGTGAAGAAAGTATGGCCACAGCAAACAGTGCAATGAAATGGTGCAGCATCTTAGCCAGTGTGCATTATCCTGGGCAGTTTTAGGAAATAAAATTGCTTTTATCCAACAGAGAGGAAAATTTTTTATACCTTTTAAAGCTATGAAACCTCTTTTTAAAGCGCAAGTACCTTCTTTACACGAAGGTAGATTTAACTAAGGTGTGTGTCGAAAAGTTAATGCAATACTCTTCTAAACAGTTGTCTGAAAGATGTGATCAAATCCTCGTCGCAAAGTTTCGTGTCCAGGGTTTGACCTCATCGTACCCTTTGACTCATCGGTGAGTTCTTCAATTACTTTCAAACACGTACATGCATTTAAAGGAGCGCATAAAAATTCACTCTGGTTAGAAAAAGCGAGACCAATTTGCCCATGCATTATAGAAGATGTTTACGACGAGAGCTTGGCATATACTCATTGGAGTATCATCAACGTTTGTCATTCTTACCTTACATCGAAGTCGTGGAACGCAATGCTTATTTGGTCAACACATGAAACTTAAAGTTTACCCGGTCAATACTATAAGCCAACAGTTCATCTTGTGGGTTTTAAACCAGCTTGTTCCGTGCAGTGCGACATTTATCCCTCTACAGGTAACAAAGCCCTACCTGTACTTGAGTTAAAAACTTCGTATTATGTACCAACTATTGTAATAAAATATTTATAGATGTTTGTATTAAAAGCTTGGTACTTATAATTAGAAATTGAGCTGTTAAACGTATAAAATATAAAAAAATAGGTCTCGAAACAAGTACAGATTGATTTAAGAGTCACTTGATATGAATAAAAAGCTACATTACGTGATTAAATTTCAGGGTTTCAAGACAATTTCTTTCGCGGTACTTTTTCGTAATATAAAATTCGCTCCCTGAATTTTGATACCTAAAATTTTTGTTCATCAATTTTCATTAAAAACTCATATCTTGTTATAATTGACAAGTCGTCACGATTTCATGAAACAGGAAATCAATTAAACTCAAACGCAATTTTCCCAAACAAATATGTACAAACGCCGGGTAACATGAATTTTTTTTTTTGCTCCATAAGTGGGCTTCCATAACCTATTTTCGATTACAAGGGAAGCAGTGTTAACAATCAGCCCAATTGCTCCTGGGGTCGAACAAAAGGACATCAATTGCATTGTTTATGAAAGGTATCAATAGAGCGTCGTTTTAAATTGAAAACAAAACCTAAAATGCTAAAAGAGCATTTTAAGTATACTAAAAAACCTCACGGAATCGAAGGCAGGCGACATTCTAGTTGCAAGATTTCCTTCTTCGAGGTTACGGCCATTTTCTATCTGGTCTAAATTGTTTTTGTTGTAAATCATGTTGGGCAAATCCGTTTACTGTCTGTCAGAGTATGGATGGAACAAAACATTTCAAACATCAACAAGTCAACACGTTTCGCAATTTTTTTCCTAAATACGTTCTCTATCATCCCACTCGTCGAATCCTGATTAAGGGTTTGTTTGATTTTTAAATTTTGACGGAAGAGAAAAACCGCAGACATAACAGCTGGGATGATCAGTGACAAAAATTTTTTGTGTCAATGACCATATCACCTGCTGCCAACAAAGTGAAAAAGCTTTAGTTAAAGCGAAATGGATTTTGACAATTTGCGACAAAAACATTTCAACCGAATTTTGCATTATATCCCTCTTGGCGAACGAAGAAAAACAAGACAGTAAATTTTTGATAAAAAAGCTGAAAGAGATTTACCATTTTGCTTCATATACTTGTCTTGTTTTACATTTTGGATAAATAAAAAAAAAAGAAAGATAAAAGATATGAAATACCTAAATGAGATGAGCGCAACACGACGCAATGATCATATTTATAATTTCCGACCATGCGTCATCTTCGACTTAGTGCTTTGTTGAAAGATGAGTGAAAAGTAAATTCAGAAATAAGGAAATTAACCGACATTTGAATATTCTGCTATTCACTGACAGAGAAACTAAGTCTGTTCAATTACTACATTTCTCAGAGGCGTGAGAAGGTTTTTCCAGAGGGGGTTATGGAGAGAGGAGTGGAGAACGAAGCTTGTAATAGCGTCTTGTTGGCACGTGGAGGGGCGCCACATCTCTACGTGAACCCTTCTCCCCCGCTTAGTTACGTCCTTATTCGAGTAACTAACTGTTCCTGGCGAAATATTAAAAGCGATCGCTCCTCAGCCATAAGGGAAGGAGAACGTAGGTATATATCGCGAAAGGTCAACGCTCGAAACGTCAGCTTCGAAACTCTTTGCGGAGGCCAATTTTTATAATATATACTACCGCACAGTGCTTCCAGGGATATCAGTTTCCACATTTACATATTTATCTATATCTGAAGGAAAAAAAAGAAAGTCCTTTTTTTTGTCTATTTAAACTATAAATGAAAATAAAGTATTTTACATTTGTATTTATTTGTTGTTAGGCTACGGACTTCGCTGCAAAAATGTGGCGCTCGTTCTTTAATGCTGATGAGGTATTTCATGAATCCTCATTTTGGCAAAAAACAAAGGATAACATCAATTTCTTAAGATAAAAGATCTTGAGCGGATAAAAAGCAATTATCTTGGCTAAAAGCTAAAACAAATTTACTCAGTTTTATCGTATCCAATCTCTTAAAATGCCATAATTGGATTCCTGGCTACTTTTAATCATTTCCCGTTGGAAATTAATATTCTCCATTAAAATTCAAGTTCACTGATTGAATGCGGGTAGTATTTTTCACAAAAATATTTTCATGCTAAAATACGTCTTTTTAAGTCATACAAAAAATGAAATAGTACATCTTTTTTTTTAATCATATTGTTTTCACTTGACTTTGGTTTGATATTTTTTCTTTATCATCTAAATTTTATAAAATTTTCGTATCACTGCTATATTATGTCAAGTAAGTTAGGAAATGAAAAAGTTATACCAAAGAAAAATATATGTTTCAACTAGTTTTATAGATATTATTGGGACAAATAAATACAAATTATATCTGAGGAATTAAGGGAATTTTGATAAAACTCTCGGGAAAAGAAGCGTATTTTAAAGTTGAAATAATACCACTTTGGATAAGGATATCTGGAAAAATCAAAGTTGTAAAATTAAGAATTCTACTTGTTAAATTAAAAGCAATGAGAGAAAGCAGTGAAATTAGCCGGTGTTTCGGAGCTTTTTTGCAAAAGGCTTTCGGAAAAAATAAAAAATTCTACTAAATAAATTAAAAGCAATAAGAGAATACTGTCAAATTAATCAGTGTTTCGGAAGTTTGTTGCACGAGGCTGTCGGAAAGAGCTTAAGTTCTTCCTTTACTCGTGAAATATCCAGAAAAAAAATTTCACAGCTATGCACGATTGAAAACGAAGGGTCATTGGCATCAGTTACGAGCTATTGTGAAAATTAGCGAAAAACATCTGAATTATTGGATCTTGAAGCTTCGTTCGGCAATGACGAATTTAAAAACGAAAACCCTGACGTATCTCTAAACAAAGCAAAATTTGTATGACGAAATAAAAAAACCCGATACAGCACAGAGTCGTTGATGAAACAGACGTCTAAAAAATAAGTCGCGAGCAAATTTATCGCCTACCTTCAAAACTTCCGCGTTTGTTTTTGCATGGACTAACACCACTACTGCGGAAGTCACTGCGAGTTTTCGTTTATAAGAATTAATTAATACTAAACTGGATAACGCGCGTATCAGAGACTTTAGCCGCTCACCTTGCGAGGCGGTATAAAGCTTAGGGACTTAACTGAACCAATTATGTTAAAATATTCAGTTTTTATGTTTATTCTGTACACCTTATCACCCTGGGAAAGTTGGAGAAACCTTTCGTTTTCCAGTTTTAGAGACAAACAAGCATAAATTACCTTTAGGTCAACTTGATTCCTAGCGAAAGCTCCTCCCTCAAATGTATGCAAATACGAAATGGAGCTAAGGGAAGAATCAATTGGTTTAATTTCCAGCGGCGTGTGGACACAGTAGGATGTGAAACTAATACAAAGATAAGATGAATAAATACTAATAAAAATCATGCGTCATTTAAAAACAACATACATTGCCTCAAATTACTACGCACCGTTTGCTACTCTTATAGTAAGGTATCATTACTGCAAACATTGACATCCAAATTATTTGCCTTCTTGTCTATGTGTGTGCATATGTCTCGTCCAAAGGGTCGTGTTGGGCCAGTGCTTCTCAGTCCACGGTTCAAAGCTCTATATTTTTTGGGCTGTTACACATTTTGTACAAGAAAAAACTTCAAGGGAACGGTACCATTCTCAAACTTAAAAGCAACGTCGATCATTTTCATTACAAGAAGAAAACGACTGGTTAATGATGCGGCAAGGAACATGTTTATAAAACATGAGTAAAATGCCTTGATAACAATTTAAAACACCGTATTCAATCAATAAGAAAGAGACTATGTTCAACTTTGTCACTGAAAATTAAAACTGAAACAAAAAATACAATGTTCCCTTCAAAAGAAGACAAGTCGCAATATTCCTCACGAGTAAAGTATATTTCAAGAAAAATTGCTTGGGCTTCAAAGGATTTCAATCAGTTAGGTCCTTTGAGCCTCGAAAATATGGTTTTTTAGCTCATGCAGTATGTGAGAGGTCACGTTCGAACATTGTCGAAACTTGATTACATTCGGACCTCTTCTTCTGCAATTTCTTCAATTGTTGAAATCTGGGTTAAGATAACCCAGGTTTAGCATGAAATTTTATTTCAGGTCTGAAAGCTTAAAAGAAAATTCATACAAATTCTTTTTGCTTGCAATTTGATCATTGGATGTTCTAAAAAGATTAGGGAAAATTTTCTCTAAAAGGCTTTGGAAAAAATAAATATAAAAACCTGCATTAAAATTTAACCCTTGGCTAGCACTGATTGGCCTTTGAACAACTGGGCCCAGGGCTATAAAATTAATATACTGATGTTCTCACCTGTATTCAGTCTGAAAAAGAAACTCTGCAACACTTCTGTCAGTTTATCTCCTCACCCTTGAAATAAAACATAAAGTTTGATTATTTTTAGGCAGGTTAAGGAGGAAATTAAAGGAATGGACATATGTCTCATAAAAAGAAACCTCCTACTATAAAATAAAGCAGAAGCACGCTACCTACATGTCCATGTTTTTTAATACAGCTATAATAGGTAATTTTTTAAAACGGCCGAAAAAGCAGTTTTATTCGAACCCTCCTCCTTGAAGGGTACCTAGTATATCAAATAAATCAAGTTCAGTACTTCCAGAGTCATAAGCCGGGCTTTTAGGGCTACAAAATAATAAAACAATCAAAGAGTTATGCCAGGCTAATTTATCGAGAGTCAATTAAGTATAGTTTCCTAAAATCGTACGGAAAGTTTAAAATGTGCTTCACTTGTGCTACATATACGGATTTATCGCTCTTAATTACTGATGAAATTCCGAGAGTCTGACTCAGCTAATTCAAAAGAAAATATCCAAGCGGGTTACAGTAATAGTTCACGAATTGTAGACTGATAATGTGTCAACAAAACTTAAATTAAACGTTCTTAATTACCGATGAAATTCCGAGATTGTACCCAAATGAATTTAACAGAAATATCTAGGAAGGTTCCAGAAACGGACTCTCAAAAACTGCTCTTGAATTCGAAAACTGTAAACAACAATTAATTACACTAACCATGTGCTTACCAGCGTGCTTGTGTGCTCAAATTGCCAGGACCCCGTTTAATTACACGATCACAGCTCGGAGGCGTCTTGCAAGATTGATTCCTCAGTTTCCAGCATTAGGAAAAAATTATCGTATCGCTAGCATGTTGATCATAACCCGAGCATTAAGTACGCCTCGAGATGTTGAGCGAAGAGAAAGAGGCTCCATGTTTTGAGAGACAAACCATTTCTTGAAGTTCGAACGAATCGAGTAGAAAGCATCAAAACATAGCGCTGAAAAGTACCATGACCAAACAATGAAATTCACTCCTCCCGCAGTAGGATCATCACCATTTCATCCATGAGTTGTTTGCACAATGCATTTGCGCTCGGTAATTTAATTCTCAGATGTTTGACGGGTTCTCACATGAAAATATTGTCAAAATCAAATTACCGCTTCAGACTTGATGTAAACATGAACATCAGTGACTCTACCCCATGACATTTCAATTTTGGAAAAGGCTATTACTTCTTTCTCTGGATGAAACAACAAATCTTCGACAAAGCGCGATTTTTTTAAAAGAATAATGTAAAACCTGCGATAGCTAACTGAAGAGAGAATGATATAAACTTGCTAACGCCGTACGCTATTATTTGAAAACTTTCTAGGCAAAACATAATCCGTAAGATAACTTCTTCTCCCTTATCACCACGACTTTATGAAAAATTCCAAAAGATAGGACAAGATATAACTTGAAGAATACGAACACTTTGAAATGTTATTCGAGCGATGCACCGGCGCGAGGGTTTTAAAGCGATGAATGCAAAAGTCGTTGTTTTGCTGAAACGTGATTTGAAATATAAACTGAAGCTAGTATCAAACGAAGATTAGGGACAAAAGGTTTGAATTTTTCTGAGCCTTAGCATAAGAGGAAACGCAGATAAGACACGACTTACCTCCTCTACTTTCGCGGATCCTTTGTGGTTCGCTTCCCTTTGTTGATGACCCCTTTTCAGTTTCTTTTCTGAATCTCTTCGTATTTCCTTCTCACGTTGCTTCTCGCTAGATGTTCACCTTTTTACTTATGCCTTTTCTTGTTCTCTTCCGCGTTCCTCTCGCTGTATTCTGCCTATTTTAGCGTCGTCTCTAACTTTCTTGTGCGTTTTTTCTCGACTCGCTTTACGCCTTTTACTTCTTGCTATCTTTTATTGTTGTCTCTTTCTTGCCAGCCTATTTCACTCAAAACCCTTTCTCCACGAACTTGAATTAAAACAATTTCCTCCGCTTGACAAAGCTTTTAGCTCTTCCGGTATCGTTGCATGGCGAGTTGATTAAAAATTTTAAAATACTGAGAATTACTGTTCAAACTACAACCTCACCAGTTTGATTTCCCGCTCAAAACGCGGGTTATGGTTGCCGAAAT